CTAGAGTTTGCAATTAATTCAAGTACATTTTCACATAACACTATCCCACTTCATTGATGGTGTGCATATCTTTTTTTTTTCTCTTTCTTTGAGATGGAGTTTTGCTCTTGTTGCGCAGGCTGCAGTGCAATGGCGCAATCTCGGCTCACCACAACCTCCACCTCCCGGGTTCAAGAGATTCTCCTGCCTCAGCCTCCTGAATAGCTGGGGTTACAGGCATGCACCACCATGCCCAGCTGATTTTGTATTTTTATAGAGACGGGTTTCTCCATGTTGGTCAGGCTGGTCTCAAACTCCTGACCTCAGGTGATCTGCCTGCCTTGGCCTCCCAAAGTGCTGGGATTACAGGTGTGAACCACCGCACCCGGCCATAGTGTGCATATCTTATAACGAAATAATCCTAATTCCTCCCTCCCACCCCCCCATCCCTTATGTCATTGCCATCATTCATTTCACTTACATATGAACATATATACAGATATATTAGTATACATCACTGCTATTATTTTGAACAAACTGTCATGTGTTAAATCAATGAACAGGCCAGGCACAACGGCTCATGCCTGTAATCCCAGCACTTTGAGAGGCTGAAATGGGTGGATCGCTTGAGCCCAGGAATTCGAGACCAGCCTGTGCAATATGGCAAAACCCCATTTCTACTAAAATAAATACAAAAAATTAGCCAGGTGTGGTGGCACGTGCCTGTCCCAGCTACTCAGGAGACTCAGGTGGGAGAATTGCTTGAGCCAGGGAGATCAAGGCTGCTGTGGGCTGTGATTGCACCACTGCACTCCAGCCTGGGCGACAGAGTGAAAGCCTGTCTCAAAAAAGTAAAAAGAAAAATAAACCAATGAAGAATGAGAAAAAGCAAGATTTTTCTTTTACCTTTAGTTATTAAAGGTAATAATGATGCTCTTTCTTTAAGTAGATCTGAGGTTTTGACTTTTATCATTTTTCTTCTCTCTGAAAAACTTCTCTTAACATTCTCTCCAAGGCAGGTCTACTGGCAACAAATCCCCTTTACTTTTGGAGCATAATTTCATGGGGTACAGCATTCTAGGTTAGTCTGCTTTTTTCTCTCAATACCTTAAACATTTCATTCCACTCTCTCCTTGTGTGCACAGTTTCAGAAGAAAAGTTATTTTTTGTTCATTTGTGTTTTGGTTTTGAAGGATTTTTTGCATTTACCCTGTATGTTCTCTGAGCTTCCTGGATCTGTGGTTTCATGTTCCATATTGATTTGGGGAATTATCAATCATTATTGCTGCAAATATTTCTTCTGTTCCTTTCTCTGTCTTCTTCTAGTATTCCCATGAGGCATAGTTATACATTTTTTACATCATCTCAGTTTTTGGATATTGTCTTTCAGTTATAGAGGTTTCTACTGAGATATCCTCAAGCTCAGCAATTCTTTCTTAGGATTTTTTTTTTTTTTTTTTTTTTTTTTTTTTTTGAGGTGGAGTCTTGCTCTGTCACCAGGCTGGAGTGCAGAGGTGCAATCTCGGCTCACTGCAACCTCCACCTCCCAGGTTGAAGCGATTCTTCCACTTCAGCCTCCCAACTAGCTGGGATTACAGGGGCCCACCACCATGCCTGGCTAATTTTTGTACTTTTAGTAGAAGCAGGGTTTCATGTTGGCCAGGCTGGTCTTGAACGCCTGACCTCAAATGATCCACCCACTTCAGCCTCCCAAAATGCTGGGTTTACAGGTGTGAGCTTGCATGCCCAGCCTATTCTTCATTTTTTATCTCTAGCATTTTAGCTCATTCTTAGGATTTCCATATCTCCTTACATTGTTTGTTTGTTATTGCTTGTTGTCTACTTTCTCTAGTAGAGCCCTTTTCATATTGATCACAGTTGTTTTAAATTCCCAGTCTGCGAATTCCAACATCTGGGCCATATCTAAATCTGGGTCTGATGTTTGCTCTCTTTCTTCAAACTTGTGTCTTTTGCCTCTTAGTATGCCTTGTAATGTTTTTCTTGATAGCTGGTTATGATGTGCCAGATAGAGAGAATTTCTGTAAGCAGGCCTTGAGCAATGTGGTGGTAAGGTATTGGGGTGGGGGAAGCATTCTGTATTCCTAAATGAGGCCTCAGTCTTCTGGTGACCCTGTGCCTCTGGACTGTGTCCTTCATGAGTGCTATGCGGTTATCCCCTCTTAGATGAGGGACGATGGCTAGAATGAGCTGGGTTTGGGTATTTCCCTTCCTCCAGGTGACTGAGGTCCTGCTATAACTTCAGCAGGTTAGGTGCTTGTTACAATAGAAAGATCAGAAAGCTCTGGAGTATTTCTTTTTTTTTTTTTTGAGACAGAGTCTTGCTCTATGGCCCAGGATGGAGTGCAATGGCGCGATCTCGGCTCACTGCAAGCTCCACCTCCCGGGTTCACACCATTCTCCTGCCTCAGCCTCCCAAGTAGCTGGGACTACAGGCGCCGGCCACCAGGCCCGGCTAAATTTTTTTTTTTTTTTTTTTTTTAGTAGAGACGGGGTTTCACCATGTTAGCTAGAATGGTCTTGATCTCCTGACCTCGTGATCCGCCCGCCTCGGCCTCCCAAAGTGCTGGGATTTACAGGCGTGAGCCACCGCGCCCGGCCTACTCTGGAGTATTTCAAAATGGTTCCTTCTCCCCTTCCTCTGCTGGAAACGTGGGGATTTTTCTCCAAATTTCACTGTGAGGACCTAGTCAAGCTCCTGGGGATAAAACTCATAAAAGTGTGGGTCTCCCTTGACCCCCCTCCAGTGACTGAGTTCCCTGGAGTTTTTAACTTCTCAGATCTCTCCACGCTAAGCCTGCAGCAATTCGTCAAATAGAGTTCACATTTTCCTAACCTGGCACTGGTTCTCACAGAGGTTACTACTCATGGATCTTTTTCTCACGGGTTTCTGTTCTATAAGCTACGATTCTCTGTATTTGCCTGTTTGTCTTTCCAGTTTTGGGGACAGCAGTTTGTCCTGTGAGCTCAACTTTCTGACGGATCTAAGGAGAGATGCTGATCTTTCCATTTGCTTAGCTTCTTTCTTACTGCTAGGATGGAGAAACAACTTCCATGCTTCCTGCATGCCACGCTGGAAACCAGAAGTTGCAATTCTTAAAAGAAAAAAAAATAGCTCTTGTAGCTTCACGCATACAAACAGGCTTATTAAAAAATATATTTATTAATTTTTACACCTGCTGCATAGCACAAGACTATTAACACTATAACTCACTGAATGTACAATAAATGTTCACATTTAAATAACAGGATAGGGTCAACATTTTCAACCAGTGGGTCAGCTTCAGCATCTCATGAAGTGCTTTTTAGACCTAGATATCTTAAGAGTTTTTTGAAAGGATACTTCCGAGTCAGAAAACAAGAAGATCAAAACAACAGGTTTTTCCAGAAAAACAGGAATTTTACATGATGAAATGTCTATTTCTGTCGGTACAAATCAACAATAAAAACAAAATCTACATCCAACCTACTCCAAAATACTCACACTGCACTGAATGAAGTCTACAGTGTCAATGTGTCTTGAGAGAGGCCACAATATCCACACTGGCTACATACATGTTTTCCAAATTTAGTTTTCTGATGGCTCATCATTTGCTATCTCTTGAAATCCAGGTCCTTTTAAAAATCTATGACCTTGCAATGAATGTGCAGAATACCTGATCTGAAAGCCACATGACTTGGCTCGACTGCCATCCGCATCTCTGGCTGATAATATACAAACTAGTTTGAGAGTCTTTATTTCACATAAGGACCAAAGAAGAAGAAGAAAACTTAGAAGGGATAGCAACAAAGAGGTCCTTCCACCAAGTTTTCCTCTGTGTATTTTAAAACTTAAAATAACTGCCATAAATGAACATTCCATTCAGTGATTCTTTTCAGTTTTCCAATAAGTTATTCCTGAGGGGAGGGAAGATACCTTATGGTTCAAATTAAAAAGAACGTAACAGGGCCAGATTTCAGTTATAAAAGCTAAAACTGGACCTTTGGAAAATTCTACTATTCTTCCCCTAGAAAGGCTTTCTGGACAGGACACTAGGATATTTGTAATCATTATACTGTGGGACTTAGGGAACCCGAGTCTGTATTTTGTAATGCAGGGTCAATATTTTCTGTTGAATATCTTTCTCCCAAAGACAGAGAGACCATTTTCAGTTTCCGTGTATTTACGAAGTAACTTTCTCAAGTTCTCTTCGTACTCAAACATTGAGGAATAGCTATACGAACGCGGTCTCAGAAATAAAGTACAAAATCTACCCATCAGTAAAGTTCTTTTAACAGAATTGTTCACTTTTCAGAAACTGTCTTTATCATGAAGAAGCTACTCTACTTAATTTATAGAACCAGTTTTTACCCAGAAATGTAAATTAATTAACTTCATTTGAAATGAAGTAAGGTCTTTCTCTTCTGGAGTAATAAATTCTACTATGCAATAATTATTCTAAAAACGTGTTAGCATGTCACAAAAAGTTGATAAAATGTATACTGATTTTTTAATGCCCAATTAATAGTATATTCATAAAGACTGGATTTCTTCCAGATCCCTTATAACTACTTTATTATAAGTTTTCCTCATATTTTAATTTTTTCCCTAAGTGTGAAGTTGATCATCTTATTAAAAGGTCCAGATGAGTTACAATATGTTTAAAGTTAAAAGTGTTAAGAAATAAGAAATGCCAGCTTTCCATCCAATTTTAAAGAATGTTCATTTTAAGACAGCATTAAAAGTACTAAAATACACTGAACACTGTCAGCAAGAGTTAAATGTACACTTGGTCAAGGAATATATCTTTTTTTTTTTTTTTTTTTTTGAGACGGGGTCTTGCTCTGTCGCCCAGGCTAGAGTGCAGTGGCCGGATCTCAGCTCACTGCAAGCTCCGCCTCCCGGGTTTTCGCCATTCTCCTGCCTCAGCCTCCCAAGTAGCTGGGACTACAGGCGCCCGCCACCTCGCCCGGCTATTTTTTTTTTTGTATTTTTTAGTAGAGACGGGGTTTCACTGTGTTAGCCAGGATGGTCTCGATCTCCTGACCTCGTGATCCGCCCGTCTCGGCCTCCCAAAGTGCTGGGATTACAGGCTTGAGCCACCGCGCCCGGCCAAGGAATATATCTTTTACCAATGAATGATAAATGGATCCTGCAAGGCAGAACAAAATTTCAATTCTCTCTCTTCTCTCTCTCTCTCTCTCTCTCTCTATCTAGTTTTGGTAATTTTTCTTGATACCAATAGCTCCTTCTTACCACCACCACAACCAGAGAATGGGAGGCAAAGTTTTAATGCAGGGGTTTAGATTTTGCTGCCATCAAGCAGACTTTTCTCTTTCAGGGAGTCCACCTTCGTGAAATAATGAAGAACTATCAGAACATGAGCTTCTGACCTAATCCACTGAGGACCAGCATCTGTGGAAAGCACTACCAACAGCCTAACAACAGTTTTCTAAAATAGGGAAGTTAAAAAAAAAATCAGCAAGAAAAATTTAGATGACAGTTTTTGCCTCAGAACGTCACTGTCAAAACTTTTGTTTCATCATTTCATTTTCTTATTCAACAAGCTCCCTTTGTTAAATTACTGAAAACTAAAACAAGACAAAGCAGTTCAGACCTAATACACACCCACAAAGTGCCTCTTCTCCTTCGGTGCCACGGCTTGGAATAAGAAGTCCAGTAACTATGGACTTGGCACATCCTGTCTCCACCTTTGCTATGAACACAATACGCCACTTAATATTTCCACAAAGGAAAAGTAAGGCTTGTCAGTGTGTTAAAAGACCAACTCAAGAGCAGGGCAAATTCTCTCCATCTCGAAATCTACTTTCCCCTGAAAGATCTCCGTTCCATGGCAAAAAACGAAGGGTTTGAAGCGTCAATTTGATAAAGATGACCTTGGCAAAATAAACCCCAGTGGATGGATGAGAGACAAAACTGTCGTTTTCAGACTCTTGAGTGAATAATAAATCTTACAAAAGAGCTCTAAGTGTCAGAGCTCTCAGACTTATGAGAACAGACATGAGGTGGGTGCTGGATTCGAGCTCCAGGGCGGAAGTCATGGTTTGGTGATGTGCACTTCGCTGCTTCCGTTCCCATTGGTGGTGGTAGTGATGATGTACTGTGTGGTCTGCTGTTGGCTGGTGGTCTGGGGATCCAAGGAGTCACTGTGTGCAGGTGGCTGGACCTGGACTCCACCAGAGAGGGCGGAAGTTTGCTTTTCCTCCAATTCTGGTTGACTTTCTGATAACACATAATGACCCTTAAGGAAGAAGAAAAGGATGTTTAAAAACCTGGGGCCTTAAAGGGAGGATGAAGCTACTAGGGAAGGAGAGAGATGCGAAGAAATGTCACAAGGGACCCAAAATAGGCATCTATGAGAGATACTTTACCTAGGTCCTTTAGAGAGGGTGGATCAGTCACAATAATTGACTACAAAGGTAAGCTCCTTAAAGGAGCACCTTAGCAGTTTCACCAAATGCTAGAGTGAACAACTTCAGGTACAGTAATTTGCATCATGGTGGTAACATTCGACGTGGCAAAGAAAACGTACTGTTGCAATGCTCCTAAGAATTTACACATTCAGAAAAGACAGTTGACTGTCCATTCGATCTTAAGATTAATACAGAATGGATCCAAGAAGAGATATTTAAAGTCTCCTTGAAGAGGCAGAATGACCCTGAAGACAGGTAGTCAAGATCAATGTTCTCAGAGTTCAGAATTTCAAAAGACCAGCAAAATTTTAAAAAATAATAAATGGAGGCCAGGCATGGTGGCTCACGCCTGTAATCCCAGCACTTTGGGAGGCCAAGGTGGGCAGATCACCTGAGGTCAGGAGTTCGAGACCAGCCTGACCAATATAAAGAAACCCCATCTCTACTAAAAATACAAAAAAAAAATTAGCTGGGCATGGTGGTGCATGCCTGTAATCCCAGCTACTTGGGAGGCTGAGACAGGAGAATTGCTTGAACCTGGGAGGCAGAGGTTGCAGTGAGCCGAGATCGTGCCATTGCACTCTAGCCTGGGCAACAAGAGCAAACCTCTGTCTCAGAATAATAATAATAATAATAATAATAATAATAATAATAATAATAAATGGTTCCCAAATTGTATTTTGTCAAGTAAGGTCATTTAAAACACGCTACCATCAAATAGAGATTTTAACACTCAAGAGCACAGGAACGACAGGATCTCAGAATGAAATCCCTTACACTGAATAAATGTAGCTTTATGAAAACTTACACATTGTCTTTGTTTTCTTATTTTTCCCCTCATCATGAAAACGTCTTCAGAGACCTGTAGCTGGCTATTTTGTTACATTAACATTTTTAAAGAAATGTGTCTGTCAGTCAGAAGGAGGGTTGGTCAGCTACAGAACAGAGGAAAAGAGACATCACAGAGAGACTCTCAGGCACTAGCCTGTCTGCACTGCCCAGAAAAGAGCCATCGCCAAATACCCACTTGATTCCACTAGGGCCAGATGTTCTGAGTTCACCCCCACCAGGCAACGTTCTGATCATGACCATTTTTTCCATGTGGGGAGGGGGCTGTTTCTCAACCTAGGGTCCATTGACTCCTAGAGGGGTCCATAGGTCACCTGCAAAAAATGCATGAACCCCCAAAACTGTACATTAAATGAGTGTGCATGTACACTGTGGCGGGGGAGAGAAACAAGCTTGGCTGAAACTATTCTCAAATGAGTTCCCGGCCAGAAAAAGATCAGAGTCAATGGGTCGTACAGGGAACAAAAACTGTCCTGATCATGCCAGCGTGATGATCCCATTCACATTCGTTACTGCTTTCCCTGACAATGAATAGTGTTACTCTGGATTTGCATCTCTCTCCTAAGTCTAGTTAAAGTGACTGTGTGTGCTGAGAAACAGGCGAGCTCTCCGTATACTAAAAAAAAAAAGAAAGAAAAAAATATCAGGGTTTGAGACCACAAGACTAGCTAGCTACCCTCTGAAACCTCTTAAGAAAATCTTCCCTTGGTAATATCTCAATATTGCTAGCCATTGAAGAGCATTTTTCTTTTTTTTTTCTTCTAGCTTTATTAAGATATAATTAAACAAAACAGACTGATTAACATATCCATCAACTCATGCACTTACCATTTTATTTTGTGGCAAAAAACATTATCTATACTAACAGTTTTCAAGTATACGATACATTATGAACACAGCCAGCATGCTGTACACAAGATCTCCAGAACTTATCCACCCAGGAGTATTTTTCTTTTTTTTCTTTTCTGAGACAGAGTCTCACTCTGTTGCCCAGGCTGGAGTGCAGTGGCATGATCTCGGCTCACTGCAACTTCTGCCTCCCAGGTTCAAGCAATTCTCATGCTTCAGCCTCCCAAGTAGCTAGGATTATAGGGATGCACCCCCACACCCACCTAATTTTTGTATTTTTAGTAGAGGCAGGGTTTTACCATGTTGGCCAAGTTGGTCTTGAACTCCTGACCTCAAGTGATCTGCCTGCCTTGGCCTCCCAAAGTGTTGGGATTATAGGCATGAGCCACTGAGCCCAGCCAAGAGTATTTTTCTAAATTCACATGTATGTAGTCTGTCTTCTAATAACTTAAGAGGCAGGCCAGAACAAACCAGTGAAGATAAAAACAGAAGAAGGAGACACAATCAACATTGTACCTGCCCAACTTAGATAATTTAAGGCAATGTTTTTCACCTTCAGGTGGGTGAAATGTTTAATACAGCTCCATAATTGATTCATTATATTATTCTCTCCCAACCCAGTTGAGGGCCAGTTGTCTTGAGGACTTAATCTTTCCAAGAAGCATATAAAAACGCTCATAAGGGCCGGGCACGGTGGCTCACGCCTATAATCCCAGCACTTGGGGAGGCCAAGGTGGGCGGATCATGAGGTCAGGAGATTGAGATCATCCTGGCCAACATGGTGAAACCCTATCTCTACTAAAAATACAAAAATTAGCTGGGTGTGGTGGCGCATGCTTGTAATCCCAGCCACCCTGGAGGCTAAGGCAGGAGAATCACTTGAACCCAGAAGGTGGAGGTTGCAGGTGAGCCAAGACTGCACCACTGCACTCCAGCCTGGTGACACAGCGAGACTCTGTCTCAAAAAAAAAAAAAAAAAAAAAAAAAAGGGCTCATAGCGATGGAGCTAGGACCATTACAGTTATTAATTTAACAGATATTTATTGAGCATTTGCTATATCCTAGTCTCCTGGATAGGGCACTGAGGATAAAGCGATAAGACCCAAGACCCAGCTTTCAAAGAATTCATCAACTCTTGTGAGAAAACAGAGTAAGCCAATCATTAAAAGATAAGTGGTGATAAGAGTTATACAGCACCACAGGTTGGAAAGGAAAAACCCGACCGAGTAGCGCAGCTTACCGGAGTAACCGCCTTCACCTGGCCAGTAGTAACTGGAGTTGCCACACCACTGTCTGTAATCACAAACTGACCTGGGGGAAGGGTCATCATTTGAATCTCAGATGCTAAAAAACAGGAAATATTCATAGTTCAGTGGTCTCAGATTTTAACACAAATCTTAGAAACAAAAACATAACCAGTAGCCACAGTCCCCACTGATTTGCTTGCCACGAGAGTCTTACAATGATATGATTTCTCTGCTACGAATTGAGAAGAGACTGGTACGCAGTGACCCAGTGCCAGAGACAATCAGTGCATTCCCCTTCAAATGTGGCTTCTCAGTATCCACAAAGACAAATACTCAACAATTTTCAAAACCTTGAAATAAGTCACAAAGAGTTACCTTTTAAATCAATATTTTCATCTTTTATATTCAGATTTGGATTTGTGACACAAATGTATCCACACTTGGCTATCGTAATTTAATCCAACTTGAATTTTATTTTACCACCAGTGTTATGACAGCAAATTAAAAATAAAGCCGACCCTAGTATCTTGTCGATAAATAATATTTTCTACTAATAGAATGAGACTTTCTTGGGCAAATGGCTGATTCCAGACCTGGGCAGAAAGCCTGTGAGACAATTGTGGGGCACTGTGTCTTCCCAGCACACAAGATGTGACGAAAGGCTATCGGGTCATGTGGGAGGAATGCAGGAGCCAGTTAGAAGAGGCTCCTACAAGCCAGAGAGGGGATCACTTGAGCATCGGTAAGGATCACACCTGCAATGGGCTGAAACACACCAGGCGTTGAAATCCACGGGTACATAACCACACTAAGACGTGCACACACACCCCTGTCACCTTGGATAGCATAAGAAATCAATTCATTTTATGAAAACTGGTAAACAAAGGAAATGAATCAGGTATTTAAAGCATTTATCCTGCCTTTCTTGTACAAATTGTACCTGAGACAAACTTGGTAGTTAAGGTAAAATTTTTTTCTTTATAAAAGTTTTCTAGCTAATTAATGAGTAAGGTGCTAGAATCATGGCCAGGTACAGGGACTCATGCCTGTAATCCCAGCACTTTGGGAGGCCGAGGTAGGCGGATCACCTGAGGTCAGGGGTTCGAGACCAGCCTGGCCAACATGGTGAAACCCCATCCCTACTAAAAATACAAAAATTAGCCAGGCAAGGTGGCAGGTGCCTGTAGTCCCAGCTACTTGGGAGGCTGAGGCGGGAAAATCACTTGAACCTGGGAGGCAGGTTGCAGTGAACCAAGATCGCACCACTGCACTCTAGGCCTGAGTGACAAAGCAAGACTCCATCTCAAAAAAAAAAGAATATCACAACTTTGCAAGCCCTGATGAAATAATGGAGCTAAGGAATAAACACTGATGGCTGCTAACATCACAAAAAGAGAGACACCTGAACATTATGTGCTCTTGATAGAAGTACACACACCAGCTATGAAGTATCAGGAGGCAAAAAACAAACTGCACCTGAGCAAGCCTGTAGCTCGAATTGCCAGTCTACAGGAAATGAAAGGAACAGAAGAGCACATATTCACTGCATGGTGACATGGGAATCCCACCAGCAAAATCCAGAATGTGGAAAACAGCACAAATGGCCCGGTTTCCTCAACACAGAAATTATAACTTAAAAGAGGGAACACATACATTAAAAGAAACTCAAAAGTCATCATCAATTGCAATGTATGGCCCTTATTTGGAACCCAATATGAGTAAACCAACTTTTTTTGTTTGAGATGGAGTCTTGCTCTGATGCCCAGGCTGGAGTGCAGTGGCGTGATCTCGGTGCACCACAACCTTCGCCTCCTGGGTTCAAGCGATTCTCCTGCCTCAGCCTCCTGAGTAACTGGGACTACAGGTGCACACTACCATGCCCGGCTAATTTTTGTATTTTTAGTACAGGCGAGGTTTCACTATGTTGGAGAGGCTGGTCTCGAACTCCTGACCTTGTGATCTGCCTGCCTCAGCCTCCCAAAGTGCTGGGATTACAGGCATAAGCCACTGAGCCTGGCTGAGCAAACAAACTATTTTTTTAAAAATTTCTGAGACAACCCTAGAAATATAAAAACCCTGACTGGGCATTTTAAATGTATTTGTAGGTATTAAAGAATTACTGTTGGCTGGGCACAGGGGCTCACACCTATCATCCTAGCACTTTGGGAGGCCAAGATGGGAAGATCACTTGAGCCCAGAAGTTTCAAAACCAGCCTGGGCAACACAGCGAGATCTCATCTCTACCGAAAAATTTAAAGGAAAAAAAATTGGCAAAGCATGGTGGTATGTGCCTGTAGTCCTAGCTACTGGGAGGCTAGGGCAGGAGAATGGCTTGAGCCGAGGAGTCGGAGGCTGCAGTGAGCTATGATCACACCACTGTACTCCAGACTGGGTGACAGACAAGACCGCCTCTCTTAAAAAATAAAGAAAGAAAAATTACTGTCATTTCTTTTTAGGTGTGATAACGTTGTATGGAGTTGTGCTTTTAAAAAATATTTTTTCAGCTGAGCATGATGGCTTATGCCTGTAATACCAGCACTTTGGGAGCCCAAGGCGGGAGGATCACTTGAGCCCCGGAGTTTGAGATCAACTTAGTCAATGTAGTGAGATCTTCGCTCTAAAAAATTTTTTTTAAATTAGACTACTCGTGGTGGCTCACATCTGTAAACCCAGCACTTGGGGAGGCCAAAGTCGGTGGATCACTTGAGTCCAGATCAAGGCTGCAGTGAGCCATGATCACGCCACTGCATTCTCCAGCCTGGAAGACAGAGCAAAACCCTATCTCAAATAGTCTTTTTCTTTTAGAGATATACCAAAATATTTATGGATGAGGTGATATGATGGATCATTATCCAGTTGGAGGATGGGAGATAATGATTGGCACATATATGAGACAAGGTTGGGTGTAAGTTGTTAACTGCGGAGGCTGGACAATGGGTACAGGATGGTTTGTTACACTCTCTCTACTTTTGTATATTTTTATATTTTTCCCTAATAAATTTCAGTCCCAGAATCTTTTCTACAGGTTAGAATGCTAGCTCATCCTATTTTTACCATGAGTATCTTCCTCATTCCACTTTTTTTTTTCTTTTTTGAGATGGAGTTTCGCTCTGTCACCCAGGCTGGAGTGCAGTGGCACGATCTTTCTGCCTCAGCCTCCTGAATAGCTGAGATTACAGCCACCTGGCTAAATTTTTTTATATTTTTAGTAGAGACGGGGTTTCACCATGTTGGCCAGGCTGGTCTCAAACTCCTGATCTCAAGTGATCCACCCGCCTTGGTCTCCAAAGTGCTGGGATTGCAGGCATGAGCCACAACGCCCAGCCCACTTCACTTTCTTTCACAGAAATTATACTGAGTACAGAGGTCAGTCTATTCACCAGATTCTAGTGGTAAGAGAATCCTTCCCTGAGTGGAAACTAGACCTAGCCCTTGTTGTGACATCCAGTGTTTAAGAGTACAGATTGTGGCCGGGCGCAGTGGCTCATGCCTGTAATCCCAGCACTTTGGGAGGCTAAGGTGGGTGGATCACCTGAGATCAGGAGATTGAGACCAGCCTGGCCAACATTGTGAAACCCCGTCTCTACTAAAAATACAAAAATTAGGTGGGCTTGGTGGCCTGTGCCTGTAATCCCAGCTCCTCAGGAGGCTGAGGCAGGAGAAATGTTTGAACCCAGGAGGCGGAGCTTGCAGTGAGCCAAGATTGTGCCACTGCACTCCAGCCTGGGCGACAGAGTGAGACCCCATCTCAAAAAAAAAAAAAAAAAAAGAAAATATATATATTGTAAAAATTAACTAGATGGTAGAGTTTGAGCCTGACTCCACAGCAAATCTATGTAACATAGCCAAGGATCAATCATGACAAAGATGGGCCCCCCAAAATAAATCAACAGCAGAAGAAAGATCAATACTGACCCTTTCCCTCCTCAGCACCTATTCCTCCTAGTTTCTACTGCCGAGGTCTGTTACGTCTGCTACTCCTTCCACACCTTCCATGACAAAGGTCTCATACTTCCTGGCCTGCAACCCAAAGCTGTCTCCCCACCAAGGGGTTTCCCTCCTCCGACCTGTCAGCCAGCCTGTTACTGTTTCCATAGCACGAACCTCAGGGTTTTGGAATCAACCACTCATGTATCTCTCTCCTTTACTAGATGACGGTCAGCAGCACAGTGGGGTGGTGGAGAGTGTACACTCTGAAGCCAGACTGCCTGGGCTCCAATCCTCTGTTTACTAGCTCTTGGAAAAGTGAGTGTGTGGAAATTGCCTTGTCTGTAAAACGCAAATAACAACTGTACTTATCTCAGGTTGTTGTGAATACTGACTGTGATATATATGGTTCGGAATCATTCCTGGCCATACGGTAAGAGCTGAATGAAAGTTGGTTAACATTATGATTGTGTGGTGTTACTGATACTAATGAGAATATCATTCTTGGTATGGCCAGGGTCTAGGACAGTGATTGATACACAGGCATTCTACAAATATTGGTGGAAGGGATGACTCAACATAGCCTATATGCATCTATCTTACCATTTAATGACATAGCTATGCTTCCTCCAGCGATATACCTGGCGTTTCAAAAATGTCCTATCAGGGTAGCTCCGTGAAATCAGAAGGCTACACCTTGAGTTTTGTCATGAAACTCATGGAAGTACATGCACTAGAGAGTGTACAAAACGGTTAATAGATACTTTAAAAACCTATCATAAGCTGAATAAAGAATGACACATGGTTGGAGATCTCCCACCCCTGACCGACATGGCATCGTCCTTCTTACTTACAATAGCCACGGAAGGAATTCCAAGCACTGGGCAGGTACGTGTGCTGCACAGAGGAACTCTGCTGCTGCTGCGGCTGCAGGGCCTGCCCCTGTGTGGAAGAACTGCCCTGGATGTGGGAGGGGCTGAGCCCCTGCTGAGCCTGCTGGGCTGAGGGACTCAATGGCTGCCCAGATACCTGGGGAGAAAGAGAAAGCAATGGTAGGGAGTTATGAACTTCTAATATAGTGAAGACTCACAAATAACTAAAGGAAGTAAATCAGACTAATATGAATTATAATGCTGAAACTATCATTGCTTTTTTTTTTTTTTTGAGATGGAGTTTTGCTCTTATTGCCTAGGCTGGAGTGCAACGGCACGATCTCGGCTCACTGCAACCTCTGGCCCCCGAGTTCAAGCTATTCTCCTGCCTCAGCCTCCTGAGTAGCTGGGATTACAGGCATGCGCCACCACGCCCGGCTAATTTTGTATTTTTAGTAGAGACGGGGTTTCTCCATGTTGGTCAGGCTGGTCTCAAACTCCCGAACTCGGGTAATCAGCCCCCCTCGGCCTCCCAAAGTGCTAGGATTACAGGCATGAGGCACCGCGCCCAGCCTATCATTGCTATTATTAAAAGTAATATTTTAAATAAGAATAAAATCAATGAAAAGCAAGCATAACTATGAAATTCTAATTTGTTTTCAAAGGATTCTCTACCAGAGTATGCAAAAAAATTAATTTCAATCAACTGTTAGAAAGATAAATGAAAGAAAATATAATTACCTACATTATATAAGGTTAAAAATAATGGGAGGTGAAGTAACTTCCCTGTGTCACAAAACTAATCTGGAACACAAAATGAAATGGAACTCAAAGTTCATCATTTCCATTCACCAGCACTGACTAATCCCACCTGGCTGGTGAGTTCAGCACAGGTGAGTGGAGAGGCCCACTCCTGACAGCAGGATGAGGCCAGAGGTCTCCAGCCTGCCACCTGCAATCCCGCTCCAACTGCCCACCCGGCTTCCTTTCCAAACATCATTTCCTGTTAGTAATCCAAACAGAATAACCCCGTTTCAGAACTGTACCCCTCCTCCAAGACCTCAAAGACCACTTCTACAAAAATGCCCTGGACTCCCTCCTAAACCTAATCTCTCCCTCTCTGAACTCCGAGAACTTATCAATGTATCTCAATTCCAGACTCAAGCACACAAACACGGTAACATACAATATACCACAATACTCCACAAAGCCACTGTTCCAAACCATAGAAGCCACTTAGCCATTGCATTTAGAATGGAAAGCAAAGACCACCGTTGTTTCTAGGATGTCATAGCACAGGACTCTATGAGGGCAGAAACAGCTAATAGCTTAATGTGCGTCCACAATACCAATATAAAAATTGGAGGCAAAGGTAAGATTCTTTAATACAAATCCAAAAATAACAGTATCTCAGTAGCTGAGGAGACTAGGTCTGAAGGGAATGTCCTCCCTCTCATTAACTCTGAGAGTCCCTGAGGCCATGCTAACACCTCCAAATAGTCTGTGGAGCAGGGTACCTGGGCAGAGGACGGGGCCGAGGCGGTAGGCTCGCTGACCTGGATGTGCTGCACCTGGATGGCGTGCTGGGGGTAGGGCTGAGGATCATGGAGCTGGCCAACATCCACAGTGGACTGCTGTGACTGGTGAGGGGAAGTGGCCTGGAAGGAGAGAAAACAGGCCCAGAAACCACATATATATTGATTAAGATTAAGGGAAATCCTTCCAGAGAAAAGGTTCAGTTAAAACAATATCCTGGCCAGGTGCAGTGGCTCATGCCTATAATCCCAGCACTTTGGGAGGCCAAAGCGGGTGGATCGCTTGAGCCCAGGAGTTCGAGACCAGCCTGGGCAACATGGCAAAACCCTGTCTCTACAAAAAAAATACAAAAATTAGTCAGGCAGTCAGGTATAGTAGCTCACCCCTGTAATCCCAGCACTTTGAGAGGCTGAGGCAGGGGGATCACTTGAGGTCAGGAGTTCAAGACAAACCTGACCAATATAGTGAAACCCTGTCTCCACTAAAAATACAAAAATTGGGTGTGGTGGTGAGCACCTATAATCCCAGCTACTCAGGAGGCTAAGGCAGGAGAATCACTTAAACCTGGGAGGCAGAGGTTGCAGTGAGCTGAAATCGTGCCACTAGACTCTAGCCTGGGCAACAGAGCAAGACTTCATCTCAAAAAAAAAACAACAACAACAAAAAATTAGCCAGGCATGGTGGCATGCCTGTAATCCCAGCTACTGATAAGGCTGAGGTGGGAGGAATATCTGAGCCTGGGAGGCGGAGGCTGCAGTGAGCCATGATTGTGCCACCGCACTCCAGGCTGGGTGACAGAGTGAGACCCTGTCTCAAAAAAAAAAAAGCAAAAACAATATCCCAATATATACCAACAGAAATAGAAGAATGGAAGGGATTTCAGCTCCAATGCTGCACTCACAGATAGCCCACACCTAGACCAAGCCAGAAAACAGGATAGAAAAAGATCGTTTACAGAAATGTGCTTCTAACACATAAGCCACTAATGTTATTAGATTCTGGAAGAGAAGGAGAGAGGAAGATAGTTCCTGACAATAAGCTGAAAAAGAAGTTGTCAGGAATCAAAACTTTCAGTTACATTTAATGACCTACCCTTTATCAATTAAAAGAGATCAAAGAAGAGAATGTGCTTTTAGTTCGTCACCATTAACCTACTACCACCGTGGTTCTTAACCTTTTATGTATCATAAACATCTTTGAAAAAGTAGCTAAAGTACAGGCCCTTTTTCTAGAACAGTGTACCTATACATCATAATTTACAGGCAACTTCACGGACTCATATAGGTTTCTCCGAAGTCTGAAGTTAAAAACCCTCCATAAGAAAAACAAGACAAAGAATAGTCAATGACAGTGGCAACTTCCAATCTCCTGTTCCCATGTTAGTTTTAAATTTTCAGAGACCAAATGATTTCAAAGCAACAAGTTTGTTCATTTGTGCCTTGGGGATACTTCTCCTCAGTGTAATTAAATGAAACAATAGTTCTGGGAGAATCACTTTCATTTAGTTCCTCAGTCAATAAGAATGAGTTATTCATTATCTGGTAGAAGGAACACAGTTATACCTCTATACTACAAAGGCACTGATTGATATGCAGAGATCGAATCAACATTATTCCTTTTTTTTTTTTTTTGAGATGGAGTCTCACTCTGTCGCCCAGGCTAGAGTGCAATGGTGTGATCTCCGCTCACTGCAACCTCCGCCTCCCAGGTTCAAGCAATTCTCCTGCCCCAGCCTCCTGAGTAGCTGGGATTACAGGCATCCACCACCACACCCGGCTAATTTTCATATTTTTAGTAGAGACGGGGTTTTGCCATGTTGGCCAGGCTGGTCTTGAACTCCTGACCTCAAGTGATCTGCCCACCTTGGCCTCCCAAAGTGCTCAGGTTACAGGTGTGAACCACTGTGCCCAGCCATCAATATTATTCTTTACAACCTCTCTTTGATATAAGACATTGGATACGCAGGTCGTGATTCATCAAACTGGCTCATTACGAAGCAGCCAACCAGGATGGTAAAAGATAAGGATTCAGAGGAGGATCAGAAACAGGTGCTGTGGCCGCTGTCCTGCCACAGCACAGGAGGCTTGTATATGCTGGAGCCTAAAATTTCCTGGCTACCATAGACAGAAATCTCTCACACTGCTAAGGCCAGAGGCCTCATCAGCCTGAAAGGGGAAGGGGCATTTGTAAAATGCCCAAGGCTCAGAACTTCCACGCAGAAGCACATTACATAGATCCCAGCCCCAGATCGGAGAATGAGGTGCTAGTGGCAACACGGCATTCATACGGCAAAGGGAAACCGAGGCACGCAGTACCGGGGCCACTTGCACCACTTGCAGCTGTATGTGCTGAGGCTGCTGGAGGCCAGATGCCGACTGCGACACAGGGATGTACTGAATTCTCTGGTAATCCCCTTGTGGCGTTCGGTAGTCCGTCGTCAAGGTCTGGGACAGTTCTGTCATTGCCTGGGTGAGCAGGTCCGTCGTCACCACAGTCTCTCCGGTAGCGCTGTCCGTAGTTAAAACCGCGGGGGTGGCACTGATCACAGCTGTCGTCAGTGGTGTGTGTATGGTGTTGGAGAGCTGGGCGAACTCCGGATGCTTCTTTCGAATGTGCTGGACCATCTTGGTCTGAAAACACAAGGCAAAAAACAAGAATTATTATTAGAATTCGTGATTTTCCATTTTTCTCATATGTAAATCCTCCAAAGATTCCTAAAGTCTTTTATCTTATGTCTTAAAAAAAACACTGACTCTATGCCTGTACTTCCTGGGGTAACATAATGCTATGAAAGCAGGAAAGAGGGTGGGAATGAAGTCAAGCCTCACCTGGTCTCACACCCCCAGCAAGGTCTCAACATCCCCCCCAACTAGCACCTGCAGCAACAATCACAATCCCCCAGCCAAAACCACCTCCTTTGTAAAGCCACCGCTTAACCTTCTATGTGGTGCTTCCATAAGCCTGAACTCACCAACCACAAGCACAGAACGTTCAAACGTGAGGCCCTCCGCAGGCCAAGGGAAAAGGCAAACAGCCAGCTGCTTGGGCTGCTGTATGGCACTAATTCTGGGGGAGGTCCACAGTATTCTCTTTCTGTTCTCTGCTGTGGTCCCTGTTTACAGTGACTGGGACAACAGCTCTTTCAGTCCCCCGTCAACTCAGAAGGAGCCGTCCAGACCATGTGGATGAGAAGACATCTTCCCTTAAGAGATTCCTTACGTGGCCATTTCGACCTCGGCTTTAGTCAGAAACCGCCCCTACCTTGCTGCTGTACTGCTTGGAGCAGTGGGGACAGCAGACGGGAGGGGTGGCAATGGTGCCCGTCAGCTGGGTGTGTGTGCTCAGCATGGGGTCTGGCTCTCCGGGACCAGCGGGCCGGAGCTTCCGGATGCTCGGTGGGAGCTCGGCTCCTGGGTGGTTCTTCAGAATGTGGGCTTTGCGCTTGCTGGCGCTTTTATAAACCTGCAAATGTAAGTGCTTGCCATGAAAGCAGTATACGGTTCCACTTTCTTGCTTAAAGCAAACTAACAATTTCATTATAAGACATTGAGGAAAAGTATTGAAGTAGACCCAAATAAGATATATTAATATGTATATTAACAGATCTATTGAAGGACAACAAGCATATACCATAAATTAGAATAAAATGAGAACATAATGTAGATATGCCAGGTTTCTTTAATCCATAAATCTAAGATAATAACTGTGAAAGTACCCTTTATCCTAAAGTTTAAAATTTGGATATGACACACAGACACAGGAAGGTAATTGTTTTCAAGGTCCATCCACCTCATATGAGAGCTGCCTGTGAAAGCTCTCACACGATGTATGCAGCTGAAGACCAGGAGCCAGAGAACCTTCCAAACGGCAACGTCAATAGCAACTGCTATCTATAGTGGGAATCTGTGTTAGAAAATGTTTCTCACTTTTAAGCTGATATAGCTACATTATATAAGGAAAGGATGGCCGGGCGTGGTGGCTCATGCCTATAATCCCAGCACTTTGGGAGGCCGAGGTGGGCGGATCACCTAAGGGCGGATCTTCCTGGCCAACATGGTGAAACCCCATCTCTACTAAAAATACAAAAATTAGCTGAGCGTGGTGGTGGGCGCCTGTAATCCCAGCTACTCTGGAGGCTGAGGCAGGAGAATCGCTTGAACCCAGGAGGCAGAGGTTACAGTGAGCCGAGCTCATGCCACTGCACTCCAGCCTGGGTGACAGAGCAAGACTCCATCTCAAAAAGAAAGAAAGGATATTATGGTGGAACAACAAATATGTATTCTGTGTCTTTTCTGAAACTACACAAAAATAATGGAGTAGTACAAGTAGAGTACTCCACCACAAAGCTTTCCCAAGCCCCCCCACCTTATAGAAACCCCCAATCTACCATATATGTTATAGGTCATATGATAAATGCTCTCATTTTAGAACCTAGGAATTTGAAATTAATTCACACACTAGGCACTCAGTAATAAGCCTCTTCTTGTGTAACAAAAATCACAGAGAGAAGGGACAGTAAGAAAAATGAAGTCAACTACTTCTTAAGAAAAAAAAAATTGGCTTAAAATTAGGCTGTATTTCTAGTCCTTTCTTGTCTGAATGGAGACTACGGAGAGACAGGGAACCATCTGGTCAGAGTAACAAACAAATCATAGCATATATTTATAAATGCAGACAAGTCAGCTCTAAGCAGGAACTCCAGTGGCACACCAGCATGAATATTTCCCTTTTACCTTATCGCAATACTGACAAAAGTAATCACGATTGGGTTTTATGATGGGTAGAGTTAACTCTGGCACCTCTTCTATCTTCATGTCTGGGTGTCTCTTTGACAAGTGATTTACCTAAAGTGAAAACAAAGAACAAATGAGAAAAAGAGATCCCATTAACCAAACGGAAGCTACACAAATGCCTCTGATAATGACCGCCAGAAGCTGAAATTCTCTGAAGCAATGCCCCAAAACAATAAGGCATTTGGCCAGGACCAGCATCACCAGACCCCATCTGACACCAAAGTACTCACAGTCAGGGTTAACAGGAATTAATAATTCACCAGACAACTAAAGGTGAACTCACTGCGGTGAATTCAGCCATCAACAGTCTTTGGCCGAAAGAACTACTATTGGAAAAAGGAAAATTACACTGATATGAATTTCTTTGGTGAGTTCTCCTCATGCAAACCTGTCTTTCATTATTTAATGCCCTAGCCTTACTAAGAACATAGAATGAGATACAGACCAAGGTTCTGAATTTTAAATATTGCTCTATGACTTTCCAGCTCCTGGCAGAAATATATTCTGCACCTGTAACAAGGTCAAAATGAGTTGAGAGCAGAGCACTGGCTGTCCTGATACTTCAGCTAATCTAGATGCACATACCCTGCTTTGATGGAAAGCTTCCTTCTACTGCTGTTTGATATCTGGAAAAGAGAGGCATTAAAAGGAAACAGCTGGGGGCTGGGCGCAGTGGCTGACGCCTGTAATCCCAGCATTCTGGGAGGCTGAGGAGGGTGGATCACCTGAGGTCAGGAGTTTGAGACCAGCCTGGCCAACATGGTGAAACCCTGTTTCACCATGAAATACAAAAATTAGCCAGGCATGGTGGTGGGCACTTGTAATCCCAGCTACTCAGGAGGCTGAAGCAGGAGAATCACTTGAACCTGCGAGGGGGAGGTTGCAGTGAGCCGAGATCACGCCATTTCACTCCAGCCAGGGCAACAACAGTGAAACTCCATCTCAAAAATAAATAAATAAGATAAAATAAAATAAAAGGGAACAGCTGGGGAGAAGGCAAACACACCACAAGAAAATACATTCAGGGACACAAAAGAGGGAAATAAAAATAAGGTGACAGCAGAGATTGAGATGGGTAAAGAAAAACAAAACTAGTAAGGAAAAGTGATTAAAAAAAAAAAAAAAAAAAAGCCTCTTGCAAGAATTGACCCAAAAAGCAGCAAGAGGGCAAAGGGAGACTAGAAAAGACAGAACTCCAAATTGGGAATTGTTTGCCTCTGTTTCTTCCCCGGACATTGACAAAACCATTGATCAATATGACTTAGGACAGAATACAACACAAAAGTCACCATCATCGACAGAAATGAGGTGTGCTGGGAAGACAGAGGAACCCGCGGCCACTTGGCACTGACCAGCATGCCGCGCCGGCGGAAGCCCATCATGCAAAGGCGGCACTTGAACGTGAAGCTGTCGTAGTCTGTGGACGTGATGCGAGGCTTGAACGTCTTGGAGCGGCTGATGCGGTCGGCTTTCTTGGCCTCCCTCTCAGGATTATGCATCCTCTGCATGTGTTCCCGTAGTTTGTCTTTTCGCTATTTGGAGAGAATTTTTGAAAACAGGGTAGACATGGTGGTAGAACATTTTTAATTGAAGGGATAATTTTTAAAATTAATACAAATTAGCAGTAGCCACAAGCTCCAAGAGACATTTGAGTTGCTGGAACACTAGGACATTGAAAGACGTGTTAAAAGTGCCTGGGAGTTACTCTGTTCACTAGCAAATATGTGCATTCCAATGAACCTTGGTTTAAAATGACCATTAAATAGGAAAGATACATAGCGACTTTTGAGAATAAAGACCGTGCATTAAAGAATTAAAGAGAACATGGAATAAGCCTGGTATAAAAGAAGACAAATTGATAACAGGTAATACTAGATTTTAGAAGCCATGCGTAGGCCGGGTGCAGTGGCTCACGCCTGTAATCCTAGCACTTTGGGAGGCCGATGCGGGCGGATCGCCTCATGTCAGGAGTTTGAGACCAGCCTGGCCAACACGGTGAAATCCTGTCTCTACAAAAAATACAAAAGTAGCTGGGTGTGGTGGCGCATGTACTCCCAGCTACTCAGGAGGCTGAGGCAGGAGAATCACTTGAACCCAGGAGGCGGAGGTTGCACTGAGCTGAGACTGCGCCACTGCACTCTAGCCTGGGCAACAGAGCAAGACTCTCTCAAAAAAACAAAAACAAAAAAAAAACCAGTGTATACTCAATTCCCACACATTTCAGCAAACATTATATTTTTCTAAATCCCAAAAGAATTTAAGAATCTCTATCTTATGGATTTAGAACTTCTCACCTTACAGAATTAGAAGTTCAAGTAAACAAATCCATTGTTCATTATGATGGAGCATGGGGCCCAGGGCTCAGCTCCTGGTTTCACTATTTAGTGACACATGCTGACGTGAGTCCATGGAGAGAATTAGGCAGAGCCCATCCTGAATACAAACAAAGTGCCAGCTCCCTGATCCAGTGGGGCTCTCTGCTCTGGGACACAGGAACGAATTGTTATTAGTCCTGTACAGACTCTGAGCCTTTCTACAAACCAGTTCTTCCCACCTTTTGGTACAGGGACTTTTTTAAGGACTTCGTTTTTCAGCACATTTACTCAACAAATATTCCTTGAGCGCCTACCAAGTATCGGGGAGCAGGCTAAGGGCCCAGCTCCAATGCCGGACCTCCCTCACCCACTTGCCTCTTCTGCTACAATGCATACGACCCAACTGCTCTGTCTTCCTATCCCACCCGCCTTCATTTCTGGAAAGCCCAGGAGAGAATGTTCAGAGCTTTGCAGGCTGCAGTAGGATTTGGATTAAGGACACTGCCCTAAATGACGGTATTTTTCTTTAGTGTAATACGACGACAAAGCACTGCTGCACTGCTGCTATTTTTTCTTTTCCTCTTTCTCCAACTCCTCTCGCATTCCCACTTTTTCCTAAGCATCAATGTTTACTAGTTTCCCCGTCTATTCCCTTTAAACAACCAATTTACCTTGACTGAATCATCACGTAAATTTCAAAGCCTAACACAAATACCACACCATGCCATGCACATCGTGACAGGCACACATTTGTTGGATGCCAAATCTCCATGAGGCCTTTCCATCCTAACATCCCCCAAACCAAATCCGCTATCTGCCCCCACTCCTTCTGCCTAAGTCGTGCTTTTTCATGTCAGTGGTGTTCCCAAACACCTAGCCTCTCGAGCTGCAAATCTCCATTCCTCGTCGTCTACCCTTCCCCCTTTCATCCAGGTGCAAGGTCTTGTCAGCCTCCCATGACGCCTGTCTTGAACACGGCCCCTCTTCTCCACACCCACTGCCTCCACCTGAATTAGCCCAGCTCTGAAATGCTTAGGGCTCACTTCCTGGTAAGTATGATGACTTAGCACAGCGCGCTAGCTTAACCTGCTTCCCTGGCTTCCTCTTGCCACACCCTCCATCACTCCCCTTCTCCCCATCTCCTGAACATGGCATTGCTACTCCCTGCTGCTCCCTCTGCTTGAGATGCCGATATCCCTCCCTCACTCCTCACCTCTCCCTTTCCCTAGCTGGCAAACTCTTTCCTACCCATGAGTGGATTCAAAAGTGTCACCGTATCCATGAGGTCTCCCCTATACCCCAAATCAGTGAATCCCTCTCACGGCATTTTTGAGACGGAGTCTCACTCTGTTGCCCAGGCTGGAGTACAATGGCGCGATCTCACCTCACCGCAGCCTCCGCCTCCCAGGTTCAAGTTTTTGTCCTGCCTCAGCCTCCTGAGTAGCTGGGATAACAGTCATGTGCCACCGCGACCGGCTACTTTTATATTTTTAGTAGAGACGGGGTTTCTCCATGTTGGTCAGGCTGGTCTCAAACTCCTGACCTCAGGTGATCTGCCCCCCTCAGCCTCCCAAAGTGCTGGGATTATAGGAGTGAGCCACCGCGCCTGACCACTTTATTCTTTTCTCTATTCTAGTGTGAACTCCCTAAAGTCAGAAGGTCCCACCTCGACTTCAATGCTGCCTTCTTGGAGCTTACACTTAGCAGGACAGGCAAATGCAATACACAAATGCTACGACAGGGTTACCAGCAAAAGGCCCTGTGGGAATCCATGGGAGAAGCAGCACTTAATCTAGGGATCAGGAAATGCCCCATATAAAGTGACATTACCCAGGTAAAGGAATATGACAGTTTGAAAGTTCGTTTCAAGTCAGGAAAGGAGTGAGAGCAAGTGCAAACAAAGGCCCAAGGAGAGCCAGTACGCCACACTTGGGTAAAGCTATGGAGTTCAGGTCACCCTGAGTGCACAGGGAGGCGGGAACTAGAGAGGCTGGCAGGAGCCAGGTCTTGTAGCATCTTAGAAGTAACAAGAACTTCGGGATTTATCTGCGTGAAGAGCTATTAAAGAGTTTTTCAGAAAGGACATGACATCAGAGCTGTTCTCCAGAAAAATTACTCTGATTCTAGTTTGAAAATATGCCAGGAAGGTAGGTGGTAGTGGTTTTGTGCTGGGTCAACTTGGCTAAGGGGAACTACATTTGAAGGGAGTCTCCTTCCCAGCATGGTTCCGAGTCGGGTTAGCCATACAGAAACTCACACCAGCCTGTAAGGTGGAAAGGAAGCAGCTCCGTGCTGCTCTAGACAGTGTCACACAGAGGTACCTGTGGGTCCCTACTTATCCTCTCTTTCCCACCCAGCCACAAGATGTCTTCCTGACTGCCAGGCCTGCTGGCCAGCTCCATATCTGCCACCAGATGCAGCGACACAGTCTTCCACAGACCGTACCAGCTCTCCTTCCTGGCCCCCACTGCAGGTGGAAGGGCCTGGTTCCTAGATTCCCAGGTAAGTTCCCATTGGACCACCCAGAGCAGTGCTCCTGTGGGCATACTGCTGACTTCTGACCTCCCAGCTGCTCCCTTCGACCCTCACTTCTCCATCTTCTCCTATAATTCAGTTCTCAGTCCTATAAGAAAATCTTCTGTGACACTCAGAGCGGCTTTGCTTCCCTGATTGAACTGTGTTGAATATATTGGGTCAAAGTAAAAGAGAAAATGAAAGCAAGCAAAGAAATTTTAAAGAAATATTCCAAGGTGTTAAAATATGGTACCTGGCACAAAATGAAAAATCAAAAAACATTGGCTGGATGGGATGGATAGATGGCCAAATAGTATTACAAAACAGGAATTCTTTTAGATATGATTATTTTTATAAAAACAGAAAAATCCCAGGCCTATTTATACTTTTCACATTGGAGTTCTCTACACAATTCTAAATTGTGCTACTATATATTAAAAGGCATTAGATTACATTTTATAACACACTTACCATACAACAAGCTTTGAAAATTCTATTTCTCTTTAATTGCTTTGCATCTGTTACAAATATACCCTTAGCTTTCCTCTCCTGAATCCATTTCTGATTATTTTCCAGTTTCTACGAGAGTGTGGCCTACAGTCATATTCAGTGGAATATCTTCCCATGACGGTTTTGCAGAATCACCTGACTTCCCAATGAAGCATCTTTCATTGTTTTTACATTTATTTATTTAACTTTTACTTCTGGGTCCCCTGCAGGGTTTTGCTTGGCTTCTTCTAAGTTCCAGGTGGGTTACCGACACTTATAATGTTCTGCTTTAATCTTTGAGGTCATTAACATTCTCCAAAGCAGTCTAAGCCTTCTCAGCACTCTTCAGATTTCCCACCTGTGTTAGAGGAGCGTCCTGCTGCCTGCGAGGCTCAATTACTGGCTCTTATACTTAATCAGTGCTCAACACAAACCTCTTGATCTGAATGTTAAGTAAAGGTATTGGTCTGTTAGGAAATCTCAATAGCAATTTAGTTATACTTGTCATTATACATTTGGATTCTTTTGGGAGATGCATTTTCCCTCTACTTGTTTGGGGATTTGAATTAACTATTTTGAGACAGTAAGTTTTCCCCCTTAATTTTATAACTAAGTCAAACACAAGGCCCAAAGTGCATCTCAGGTCCAGTTCATCAGAAGTGGGTGAAAAACTGATGAACTGAACAGGCATTTACCCTCAGCCTGCTATAATTCCAGTGGCCACGAGAACCACCTTGGGCTATGTCTTGGTGTCATACCTTAAATTGCTTCCCACAGGTGGAACACAGGAAGTCTTTGCGGTCCGAATGCCGGAGCATGTGGAGTCGCAGTTTGTCGGGGCGACAGAAGGCCTTGTCACACTCTGTGCACTGGTAGATCTTTTCTGAGTGGAAGCTGCGCACGTGCTTTTTCACCTGGCAGTAAAAACCATGGGAAAACTCAGGGGACACAGGCACCAAAGGAAATGACCAAAGGCAGCTTGTCAACGCTAGAGGGAGCCAAATGCATTACCATGGGTTTTCCTCAACCCCTGCCGAGGAATCCAATCAGATGTGATAATTGGCCTCAATAACACATACTGTCCCTGTCACAAAGAAACAAAACAAGTAGCCAGAAAGCCTTAGACATCCTAACCTACCCAACGACTTGAAACGTGAGAGAGAGAGAGGGAGAGTGCTTGCTTGGAGCCCATTTTTTAAAGATAAAAAGCAAAAGTTCCTTAGGTTTAAATGAATCTTGCTAAAAAGGATCTATAGGAAGACAAAAACCAGTTCTTCCTTACTTTTCTCCGGCTTTAATCTGCATAAAAGCAATTTAGCCCCTTTTGATGCTTTTACATCTTCTTATAAAATCAAGTTCTGAAGAATTAAAGACATGAATGAGTGGATACAGAAGACATTACCGGTTTATGAGAGCAACATGACGCTGGCGTCATTTCTCAACTGGGACTTACTTCCCTTACTTTTAGACAAATAAAGGAATAGGGCTTCTGAACTCTCTTAGCCACACATATCCAATGAAGAAGAGCTGACGAAGGAAGCTAAGTAGTGAGTCCTATCAAACTATTCCTATAAGACAGCTTGCTTCATTATTTTTGGAGTTTCTTTTGCCAATAAATTATGCCTTAAAGCAACCTTTCTACTAGTTTGTGTGAAGTGAGAAAATCTCCAAGACTCTCAACCCTAGCAGAACTAAAAGTAAATCCTCGTCTTCTTTTCCTTTGGTAATTGAAAAGGTGTATTTTTACAAAATGTTTCATTATTCACTGACAGGCAAAGGAAAATCTTATCATGTAAAGTCCAAATGAAATCATGAGTATTCTGAAATTTATCTTCACCCATTTTGCTCCAACAAAGAATACACTACAGGGGAGGAGGCGGTGGGTTCTTGATACAAAAGTATATTATATACCAACTTTCTCTTTGTTTCCTTCCAAAACATATGGCCTTGGTTAAAGCAAGCAGGAAACCACAGCAGTAGTAGGGATGTTCCCAGCCCCTCAGAAATGGGAGTATGTCTTCTACAGGCTCCGTATATTTTATAAGCAATAGATATTGACATGGATTATGAAAGATTTTTTTAAAATTATAACATCTGGGTGATTATTACTTGTAATATAACTTAAACACTTTAATGTCAATGTCTGATCTGGACAATTAAGGGTCATAATAATCTTTTGTTTATAAAAGTAGTTTGATTGAAGAAATATTGTTCTCAATTGTAAAGTTGTTTCAAAGAAGGGATGAGAATGCAGGTGCTAGGCAGTCTCGGTTTTCCAAAAATCGAAGTTTCTTTTACCAAAAGAAGGAAGCAGACAGGAATCTCAGTAGTAGACACTCACCTGGATAAAATCTGGGAACCGTTTCTTACAAGTTGGGCAGGTGAAGTAGCCATCATTGATATGAATGGCCACATGATCTTTCAACAAATCAAGGCGGTCAAAGGATTCTGGGCAAAAAATGCAAGAGTAAGTCTTCTGGTCTGAGTGGAGCTTCATGTGGCTCTCCAAGGATGCGCTGCTGATGAAGCCCTTGTTACAGAGGTCACAGGTCAGTGGGCAGTTCCCCTCCCGCCCATGGAAGCGCAAGTGCTGGTCCAGTTTGTCCTTTTCCCGGAAGGCCTTCCCACACTGCAAGCATTTAAAAGGCCGGAAGGACTTCCGAATAAACAGATGCTGAAGAGCTGCATTCTGAAAGACATACACAAATGTGATCATTTAGTGATGAAATTAAGAGTGCAACTGGATCACACTTTTACAGAGAAAGAGAGGATGATCTCTGCAATCACAGACTTCCCATAGAAGTTCAACTCTAGGACACACACAGTTGAAAGATTTTTCTGGTGAAGACACTGAAAATGAAGCCATCCTCAAAGAAGTTCATCTTGAAAAGACAAAACTTTTTTGTGTTTTGTTTTACATCTATGTATGTGGGTTTTCTTTTGAAAGGGTTTAAGTAACACAAAAAAAGTGTTTCCAATAGAAGACTTGTATAATAAAACAAATCCCACACTGGAACAGGATAAAAATGGAAGATTTGGAGGAAAAGACTTAGGGTAAGTCACACATGCAGGAATCAGGCTGGAGCAAGTCAGCCAAATGTTACTTGTTGAAATCCATGAGAAAAAGAATTTGAAGCTTGATTAAAACGTTTAGGGGGAAAATAAGACAATAAAAAGAACTGAAGGGTAGTCCTTGCCAGTGGCAGGGTGGAGAAGGAAATGGATACCAGGCATCTTTTGGGGGTGATGGATACCAGGTTTCTTTTGGGGGTGATGAAAGTGTTCTGGAATTAGAGAGTGGTGAAGATTGCACAACTTCAGAATATTCTAAAAACCACTTCAAAGGGTAAATTTTATGCCATGAGAATTACAGATCTCAATTCAAGAAAAAGAACTGAAAAGGATTCAGATTTATGTGAATGAGACATGAGCACACGTCATAAATGGAATATAAGCATTTCATCACTTTCTACTTAGAAAACAGAAGATAAGGTCCCAGCATAGCCAGTTAGTTCTACTGGTTAGAATGCCATGCTAACAAAGTGAAGCTCATCACACCGTTCCCTGCCTAGACCAGGCCATTCTGCTGTTTGTTTTCAGGCACAGATTGCACTTGTAATGCTGATTAGCCATCTTGTAAATTCATGCAGTTGTTATAGGGAACCCAAGTGGGAGAGCCTGGGTACTCGGTGCAAACCCATCACCACTACTGGGAAAACTACTCATGCTCTGCTGAGAGCAGATCGACAAAACCATCTCTCACACGGAGAATGCAGAATCAATCAATCTTTCAGTTACGCTTATAATGAAGATTCATTCATAAGTTCCTCAAAACACTGAGGGAACGCTCTAGATTGCTACAAGGCGGGGGTGGGAGGTGGGGGAATCTTTCAAGTATGTCTGTGAATGGCTGTGCCTATGTAGCTATAAACGAACAGTAATTGAAGGATTAATGGAGATCTTAGTGCGATTTGTGTAATGAAGAAAGTGCAGTGAACAATGCTTACACTCTTAACTTCAAATTACTTGTAAGCATTAACTTTTAAACTAAATTTAATGTGAAATCATCATGTGAGGAAAACAAAATATTTTTGATTCAGTGAAATTTCTAGACCCAATTACTATGTAACACGAAATTTCCTTCTCAGGGCTTCCCTATCAGGGCTAGGAGAAAGATTTTTAAGCTGCTACCTACTCACTTATGTTGAGTAGATAAACAGCAATTCTGTTGTCTTCTTCAGCTCATGGGGCTGCCTCAGGGGGTGTGTCATACTTTATTCTCCTTTATATCCAGATTCCTTAATAAGCTGCTTAGCTTATAGGAAGTCTTCAAAAGTAGTTTGAGAATCAGTGAAATGTATTTCACATGAAACTTAAAAAAATGATTTCAAGGATTTTTCTATAGCATCTGCAGAGATTTTTAAGAATAGGTCTTTCTTGGCTGGGCACAGTGGCCCGCGCCTGTAATCCCAGCATTTCGGGAGGCCGAGGTCAGGACTTTGAGACCAGCCTGGCCAACATGGTAAAACCCTGTCTCTACCAAAAATTCAAAAATTCAAAAATTAGCCAGGCGTGTTAGCAGTCACCTGTAACCCCAGGGCTGTAATCCCAGCTGCTTGGGAGGCTGAGGCAGGAGAATCACTTGAACCTGGGAGGTGGAGGTTGCAGTGGACTCTGTCTCAAAAAAAAAAAAGCATAGTTTTGTTCTCAAATCAGCCACAGGGCTTGCTTTCACATCTGTGCACAGTTCAGCAGCCACCTCATCGTTTTACTCTGTCTGGATCCTAATTTTACATAAAAGCTTTACTATTTTGTCTACTTTCAAAACTTTACGGAAATACTGCAGATGAACCAATACTATTCTGAGGTTCAAAGGTACAAGATTTAGAGCACTTTTACCATGTAGGAATCTTTTCCTTTATCTACGTTCACTGAAGTGTCCAAGGACAGACACAATGCACATTGATTGTGGTCCCGCTGAGGATGCCATTTCTCCTCAGGTGCCAAATCCAGAACTCAGTTTTGTTTTGGTCCATTATGCTAATCGGTCTTCTGTCATTTCTGATTAGCGCGAGTACCTTCAGACACTTGATTTAAACTGAGCCACCACCTGGCTCCACTTTCTTGGCTCTATTGACAAACCTTATCATCTTTTCAATTTCCATGGAGCCCTGAACATTGTCTATACTCAAGAAGTAGATTATATTTCTCTGATCTAATGATACTAATAGAATCGTTACAAGGTCGTAAAAATGCTGAAACTGTTCCCACCCCTTGACCCACTTGCAGGCCATTTCTGTTCTAAGGTGTCTTCTGTAGCTCAGAGCCACAGCCCGTACACATTTCTAGAAGAAATCATGAAAAATGTTGGAAAGAGCACATAGATCCACTCTAGTTCTTCTGCTTCCTGAGTTCATCAGGCAATCCACCACACTATAAATATATATCAGCTACTCTAGGGATACCAAAATCGTATTGTTGCTAAACTCTGTGATTTGGGATTCAACTCACATTGCAGTGAATTCTGAGACAACGGATTATTTATAGACAAAGATCATAAAATGTTTCTAAAGTTTAGGGGGTTTTTTGGTTTGTTTTTTAGAGATGGAGTCTTGCTCCATCGCCCAGTCTGGAGTGCTGTGGCATGATCATAGCTAACCACAGCCTCGACCTCCTGGACTCAAGCACTCCTCCCACCTCAGCCTCCAGGGTAGCTGAGACTTATAAGTACATGCCACCATGCCTGACTAAAATGTTTCTAAAGTTTGGTATTAACAGCTAAAAGAACCTAAATTATTGATCAATTTTCATACTATTTTAATCCTGACACAAAAAGGAAATCAAACAATCATATTTGTTGATTTGGGGTTTGGGGGGCTTTTTTTTTTGAGACAGGGTCTCACTCCATCACCCAGGCTGGAGTGCAGTGGCACGATCACAGCTCCCTGCAGCCTCAACTTCCCAGGCTCCGAGGATTCTCTCATCTCAGCCTCCCGAGTAGCTGAGACTACAGGTGCATGCCACCGTGTCCAGCTATTTTTTGTTTTTTTTTTTTTTTTAGTAGAGGCAGGGTTTCACCACGTTGCCCAGGTTGGTCTCAAACTCCTGGGCTCAAGCAATCCACCTGCCTCAGCTTCCCAAAGTGCTGAGATTATAGGCGTGAGCCACCGTGCCTGGCAGTTTTGGGGTCTTTTAAACAACTTTCCTTTGGACAATTGTCTGCCCACTTTCAAAGCCTTTGATTGGCCATCCCTGCCCAACTCAGCTTACTCTGCACTATCCTTCCAGCGCCCCCTTGCTAGGGCCAGGCTCACGTCTGCACTGTCCGGACGGCAGCAAGAACCTCCTGTGTCTGGGCCTGTGACCCTAAGCCTATCATTCTCTGAAACAGTCTACCTTCCTCCTCTCTCTCTTTCAAGGGCTAGTCTAAGTCTCACCTCATCCAGGAATTATCCCGACTCCTCTATTTTACTTCGACTTTTCACTCTTCCAAGTTATACTTTCACATTTAACACCTAACCGTAAACTCCCCTACATTAGTACTGATTTCCTACTTAGACTGCAAGCTCAAGTGAAAATTCTATTGTGTACCCAGCACAGTGCCAAATAGACAGTTAGAACTCAACACCATTGCAGAAGTTATTCCAATGGTTTTAGCGCTGGAAGGGACCTTGGAGATCACTTAGTCCTACCCTTCATTTTGTATATGAGGAACCTGCAGCCCACAATTTATTCATTGATCTATTTACAACTAAATTATCATTATTTCATTAATTTGCATTTACTGTAGCAACCAAATTGTGGTTTCCACCAGGATTTAGTAAGTACAGGTTGCAAAGAACAGCAGGTCAGGCAAACACTTAAGTAACATTCTGTTATGTGAAACACAGGAAACAAACCTACCTGCAGCTCCAACTGAGCAGGCAGCATTAGAGGAGAGAAAAATAGTTACATTACCAATTGGATTGGAAGACTTCCCTTCAGTTGGTCATTACCAATCTGGATAGAAAAGATGAAAAAATACATAGCCCTGCTTTTTAGAATGTGTGAGAGAAAAAAAAAAAACAAAATAGCTCAACTAAGACTGACCTCCAAAAACCAAATACATATGGCTTTTGCTTTGCCACAAGGAACCTTGTACCAAAACCAGTAACCCTGCTCATTCAAAAATGCAAGTACAACTACGGCTGGACTGTGTTTGTGCATCCACAACTTCACTGCATGTGTGGGCTTCGGGTTTTTTTCCTTCCAAAAAAAAAAAAAAGAAATCTAGCAAGCATTTCTCTGGACTTAGTAAAAAATATCAGAATGGCAGAGCAGAAAATATAGTAACCGAGCAAGAGAAAGAAGTGCAGATTAGGAACTAAAGGAGAATGACGGATGGGACGACATTAATTCATAGCTTTTTTTCCTTGCTGTCCTATATTTCTGTATGTTGATATACTCTTGTGAAATAATATACAGTGAGCTGAGAGTTTTATATGTTTTGATTACAGGGCCCTCATAAAGGCTGTTTAGCCTCAGAGTCTTAGAGCCCTTCAAAGCTATCAAATGTTTAAATGTGTTTTTACATTGACTACAAATGTTTAAATGTGCTTTTACATGAAGGCACGGACTGGACTATTTTTCAAGGTCCCTTCTAGCCTATAGGCAAATAAGAAGACCAAAAGAAACATACACTGAAACAATCATGCACGTAGAAATTGTACAGCCTAGGAAGTTACACAAAATGTCTTTCATCTACTGGAAAGTACCAGTAAGTCTTTATGCACTCAGCTGCCACAAACATGGGTTTTAAGTCATTGGTTTTTACCAGCACAGACACTTATCATCCCACAAAGCCATATTGTTTTCCACCGAATCCCCTGCAGTTCCTAACTCAGACTCAAATGCTATTTGTGAGATCAGAGAAAACGCATCTGAACTGCAAGTCAGGAAAGCCCTGCAGCCGCATGGCCTGAGGCCAAGACGCAGGTCACGTGACTCAGACACGTCACGTGACTCAGATACTGACTCACTCTCCGACTGAGGGCTTCGGCTCAAGCTATCCCCAGGTGTGTGAACTGTACCTGCCATATCAACTTGGACACAGGTCACTTTACATTGATGAGTAATGACATTTGCCATTCTCCCCTGGGAAGGTGTAGATAAGCACATTTAGTTACCCAAAATTAACTTGAGAGCTATGATTAGGCACAAATTAGCCTGGTTTAAAATATAAATGATTATTATAACTAAATGTACTTATTTCTCCGCTTCCAATCTGTGAATTGAGGGACGCAGAGAGCTAGTCCAGGAGCTGCCAACCTCTAGGCCTCTGTGTCATTACTAAATTGGTGGAATCTAGGACCAGCCATGCCAGCCTGCCGTGGGGCACTGAGACATTGAGAAATAATGGGATCTTTCAAAATAATGGGATCGAGCATGTGACAGGCTAGATGCAAGATTTCAGAGTGGACAGTGAATAGGTTGGAAAACCACCAGAGAGCTGCTAGTGGGAGGAAGATCACCGGCAGGTGCAAGGAGCCGCCGGCTTTCCCCACTTACTCGGATGCGCTTGGCTCTGCGCATGTCGTCGGCTGTCAGCGTGCTCTGGGTGGGCACCACGCTTTCTTCATGCTGCGGCTGCAAATGCAGGGTGTGAGTTTCTGGTTCATGTTCCAGGGAAGACTGGGTTTCTTGTGGCAGCTGAGGGATTGGGATAGTGGTCTGTTCTGGTTGATCCAGCCCATTCAGAGTGGCTGGTTCAGCCTCATCAAATTGCTCCTTTGTGGGAAAATGTAGCAAGTCCTGAAATTTGAAATAACCAGGAATAAAGATCAGTGCCAGAGGGACTGTCGGCTCAGATTTAGAATTGCTGCTTATTTAGGAATGACTATAGATTCATAATACTCAGAAAAAATACTCTCCCTCTGGGAAAGTTAATTAGGTAACTATGCACAGAAAGCAAAAGCAGGATAGGTTCCAGACCACTTAACAAGGAAAAGACTGTGATCTGACTTTTCTGGAATATCAATAATTTTAATTGTTTAATTAAACAAAGTCCACCTCTACTAACTCTGGTCAATTTTATAGAGCGGCAAAGTTGGGTTTTTGTTGTAGGTAACACTTGAAAATACATTCTTTTCTGGTATTCTCCAATCATGCTTTAATTAACAGGCAGCAAGCTCTGATAGGAAAGGTCTACAAACATTGGGAAGGTCTTTGTACTTAGATCTTGTCAGGGATCTGGCACGTCCTCCACACAAGCATCTAAGGAGGGCTCCTTCCCATCCCCCTGTACCTGTGTCCCATCGTCACTCTTTTCCCCATTTTCGCTGGTGATTTCCAGGCGGATAAATTTTGGAGGACGCCCTGGCCGTCGACCTGGACCAAATCGCCTCTTGCCTCGTCCCCTTCCTCTGCCTCTTGTTCTGGGGACAAGAGATTGGGTTACGGGTCGTCGTGGTTACATAATATTCCATAACAAGTAGTGACCTAAATGATTCTTACTAACCCCAGAGTATGATTCCTCTCACCTTATTACTTTCCCAGATTTTCTCCAATGGAAACAACTGTTTTACTAATATACACTTTCTGAATGTCTCATCCTTCCCCTCTATTACAGCTTAAAGATATGTCTTCAATTATTCTGAAGAAAAGAGCTATAAACATTCAAATCACTGACAATATTTTGCTTCTGAAATGATGTGAGAAAGGCAGACAGGACAGAACATGCTAAGCCTTCGAGTGTGTTCCCAGGAGATGTCATCTGAGACAAGATTCCCATTATTTCTCTTTCTCCCCTGGCCTCGCATCATATTCCTTCTAAGAAAAGTGGCCAAATTCAAACAACTTTCTCGTTTTACTACAAGCTTCTGGGAGGTCGGAACAAATTTCTAATTCAATTGTTTCATAACATGCCTAGTAAACATCAATTAAATTTTACATCCCCTTTAATGGATTTTTTTTTTTAATTTATTTGTTTATTTTATTTTTTGAGACTAGGTCTTGCTCTGCTACCCAGGCTGGAGTGCAGTGATGTAATCATGGCTTACTGCGGCCTCAACCACCTGGGCTCAACGATCCTCTCACCTCAGTGTCCCAAGTAGCTGGGACTACAGGCATGTACCACCACGCCCAGCTAATTTTAATTTTTTGTAGAGACAGGGTTTCACCATGTTGCCTGGGCTGGTCTAGAACTCAAGCAATCCTCCTTCTTGGGCCTCCCAAAGTGCTGGGATTACAGGCACGAGCCACCATGCCTGGTATGAATTGCCAGCAAACACAAATTCCTTAATAAAAGAGGCTTTAAAAAGTAGGTTATGAGAGCTTCTTTTAGAAGATATGTATGTGGAAAGCGTACAATGTCAATGAGATCAAATTTTATCCTTCCACTCATTTATTTAATAATTTAACAAATACTATATATTTTTTCCAGGAACTTTTAAAAGACTCTTCATGTTGGAAAATTCTGAACCTACGTAAATATAGAGAACAGCGTGATGAGCCCAATGTACCCATAACCCAATTCCAACATTTTTCAACCCATGGTCAACCTTTTCCATCTATATCCCCACCACTTGCCCACACACATACCCAGTAGATGATCTGGAAGCAAATCCCAGGTATCTTTTCATCTCTAGATATCTTGGCATGTCTCTCTGAATCATAATGACTCTTTATATAGATATGAGCACAATACCATTATCACACCTAAGAAATACCTGATAGTTGCTGAGTATTATTATATCCAGTCAAAGTTTAAACCTTCCTAGTTATCCCAAGTTTCTCTTAACAGTTGGCTAACAAACGTATTACCTACTGTGTATCACATACTGTGCTAGGCACTAAGGACATCAGATTACACGCAACAGATTTTACCCTCAGGGCCCTAGAAGAGGGAGGTGGCATATAAACCAAAAATCACAATATAAAATAAAAAGTGCTACAATAGAGCCACCAACAGAGTTTTGGAGATACCCAGGAGTGAGTGACTCAAATCTCACTGTGTCCACCCCCCCTTAGACATTTACCCCTGTGGTCACATTCTAGACCCTGTCACCCTTATAAGCCTCTTCACGCCAATCCCATGCACTGCCCACTCGGGCACTACCCTGGCTCTGTAGTTTACTCCCTCTGGTACAAGCACTCAGCAACCCTTCAGCCACGCGAGCATCTCCAATCCAATCCTTCTGGTGCTCCTGTGCAGCTCTGCACCACTGCCTTGATGTTCTCTCCCCTTTTTCCACAGCACACATTCCAAGGTCATCCATGGGAACCACTCCCTTGTGCGTACTCTCAGTTCCCATCCCACAGCTGCTCTGTTTTCTCAATGTGTGTTATGAGCACTTGGCAAAGCCACAACCCTGTGTAATCCAATTCCCTGCCCGCTCTGCACCAGCATCCCTGCAGCTGAATGAAGCTGGAGAACAATGCACAGTCATGCGAGTGGGCTCACTTCCATTTCATAACCATGAACCCCAAGTGGGCATTTAATGTAGTGGGCAACTGTATGGTACTTCCCTAGAACATTCACTTTCCCACTTACCTAACTACCATCTCACACGTCTCCTCTCTTTCCAAACCCTGGAAAAGCTGGCAACCCTACATCTGTCCCCCTGGCACGACCCTACTTCAAACCACCCTCATTCCGATCCCAAACTGTTGTGATAGATGCTAACAGGACTCCTTGTCTTCACTCTTACTCCAATATAAGCCGGTGGTTATTTTTTTCCAGGTGTTATATTTATCCAAAATGGTTTTCAAAAAAATACAATCAACATCATAATACTCCCTGACCAAAACCCTCTAAAGACTTCTCATCACACTTGGAATAAAATCTAAATTTCTTACCATTTCCCATAAGGCCCTACCTGATCTGGCCCCTGCCCCCTTCATCCTATACAATTCTCCCCTCGTCTGTCTTTTTTATATAGTGGAATTAAACATATGACTTGGTTTGATTAAGTAATCATACTGCTGAAAAAAGTCTGAAAATCAGAGATCCGGATTATTTTAAAAGTAGGTGCTATCTCAAAAATTCCTATTTCAGAATCTCCAGTTAAGGCAGATTTACCTAAGATGAAAGGATCTCCCATTGCTGGGTACTGGTTATGCTGGAAAGATGGATAACAGTAAACGAGAAGCAGAAGGAAAAGGAGATGACAGGTAACACCGTTCCCTCAGTAGCCCACCTGGTTACCTGTCTACACATGACACTTGGAGACACTCTTTAGCTAGTGGACAATACAGAAATGATTCTGAACCTTTATAAGCTCGGTCTGTGGGCCTTTCTCCCTCATACATACCTGCTAAACACATCTAGTTTCTCATCATGAGAATTGAGATGCTGTTGCAACTGCTCCGAGCTTATAAATCGGCGGTTACATTCATAGCAGGGCCAATTCTTCTCTTGCTCCCGAAGAACTACAGTCACAGAAGAGAAATCATGAAGGCTGATGATCAATAGACACCAATACAACTGCCTGCGATCCCCACCATTCTTATCTTGCTGCAGCCCAAAGGCTTCATAGCTATACAGTATCTGCTATTTGCATGACTGTTTTGTTATCAAATCAAAAGCTAAAACTTGGCAGAGAGTTGCTTTTTAGGATCTCACTTTCTAATGCATCCATGCAAGGCATCAAAGGAACAAATACCCTCACATCACCCTCTCACAGCCCTCAAAACACGCACACGACTTCACCGCACCGAAAACACATGAGATGTTACAAAGATCTGTATTCAGATAGCCTGGTATTCAGACCCGGGTTTCATAATCTGAGGGTATGTTTTAGAACAAATAACTTAAAACTCAATGCCCAGTAGAATCACTTCAGCAAAATGCTCAGAAGCACCCCCTAAGTTGAATATAGGCATACTCCATGACCCGGCAACTCCACACCTAGACACATACCCAACAGAAATGTGCACATAGGTTCACTAAAAGACATGTCAGAATGCTCGCAGCAGCACTCTTCAAAATAGCCAAAATCGAGAAACAATCTTATTGTTTAATAAAGAATCTGCCTGGTCTTTTTCCCTAGTTGGTAACCTTTAAGTCACTGGAATTTCCTGAGTAATAGGAGTGTCTTTGTTATTCATGGTGTCCCACCCCACAAACATACCCAAATGTATTCTAATGAGATGCTTCAGAGCAGGGACAGGCCATGCAGGAAAGCTCAACCATGTAATTGGAAATGTGGGGCTTTGAGCCAGGGGTTATCGGCCTGACCTCATGGAAGGAGGAGGAGAAGGGGGAGCTGGCAGTCAAGCTTGATCACCCGGACAATGATTGAATCAGTTATGCCTATGTCATGACGTCTCAATAAAAACTCTGGACACTGAAGCTCGGGTGAGCGTCCACGGTCGGGAATCATAGATCAATGCACCAGGAGGGTGGCGTGTCCTGAGGACACTTTGGGGCTTCCCAGACCTCACCATATGCATCTCTTCATTGGACAGGCCCTAATATATACAAATCATACATTTTAATATATTAGATATATAGATCTTTCCATTATAATACATATAAAGGATTGTAACAAAATGGCCATCGTTAAGAACGGCTCTTTTCCGAGTTCTGTGAGTCATTCTTGTGAATTATCAAACCTGAGGAGGTCCCGGGAACCTCCTAACCCGTAGCTAGTTGGTCTGGGGCTTGGGACCTCCAGAGCCTGCAGATGGTGTCTGAAGTCTTGACTGCCCTGAGCATGTGAAACTTGACCTAACTCTGGAGAGTGTCAGAATTGCATTTCACAACCAAATCTACAGTAAAATGGAAAAATCAATTGTTTTACATTCATACACCAGAATACCAAATAACAACGAGAATAAATAAATTATAATTATATACACCAATGTGGATGAATCTCACAAATACCATGTTGAGCAAAAGATGCCCAGGCACCAAAAGTGTACCTACCACATAATTCTATTACGCACAGTTTGATAACAAGCATATCTTATTGTGCGGTACTAGAAGTCAGGAGACAGTACTTAGGAGTGAGTAGGAATTAGAAGGCAGCACAAAGAAACTTCTGGGGCACAGTAATGCTCTGTTTCTTGATCTGGGGGCAGGTTACATGGGCGTGTTCACTTTGTGAAAATTTAAGCTGCATACTTACAATGTGTGCAGCTTTCTGTATATAGATTATACTTCAGTGACATTTGCATTAAAAACAAAGCCAATGCCTGCCTTGGTATATCCTCAGAGATGATAAAATCTGGATAGGAATCGTCCTCTGATCTAGGTTCTAATTTGGCATTTGGAAGTTTTCATTATATTAAATATTATTTTCCAGCACACATGAAAGAAATGTAAACGTCATTGTAATTTGACAGTGAATTAGATGGAGGTGTGTGTCTCCAAAAAACCTACTGGGATAGCTTCTGAAATATACTGAGACAAAAAATTAGAGGTTTCATAAAGATGTGATATATACAATTTAGAATTCATACAGAAAATGTAAAACATAAATGTCTAACCACCTTTCCTTTCTTCCTCAGATATGTCATGAATTTTCTGGTTCACGAACTCAGCATAGGACGCGGCATACCACACCTGCAAGAAGCAAGTATATCATCAAGAACTGGGGACATCACCAGATGTTCCTCACATGCTTACGTTATTTCTCCTGCTTCCAGGAAACAATTCAGGCTTTTCCACAGCCCATTAACAAAGCAAAAGAAGATCACGCTGTGAGCTCCCCTTGCAATACGTTTTTTCCAGCACATCAGTCAGGAAGTTCATTTGCCAAGACACACTGCCTGTTTTTTCTTTTTCTTTTTCAGAAAATAGTTACTGTTACTAGAATAACTTCACAGGAATTATAATCATAGTCTCTTCAACTAAATAAAACAGCTTCCTCTGATTTCTTATCTATATTTAAACACCGGTTTTTACAGGGTTGTAGTTACAGTGATTGCCACCAAACACCCCTTACTGGAGTCACCAATGACAACTTCAAAGGCAACCACCTTCTCCCGCCCCCCCCCACTGGCTACTTCTGATCACTCTGTTTGCCTCTTTTTTTCCTCCCTAACTTCCACATATTGGTGTGGCTCAAAGCTTAGTTAGAGTGTAGGGCCTTCTTATTTTCACTTCAGGTGGCCACATTCATTTCCAACCAACTCTATGCTAATGACTCCCAGATCAATATCTCCATCCCAGACCTTCTTTCTCTGTCCCCTCTGACTGTGTCTGACTGGATGTTTTGGATGTCTCACAAACAGATGAAACTTAGCATGTCCAGAATGGAATTCTCAATGCTTTCCAACTCACGCCCCCACCCATCTTCCCCATCTTGATGAATACCTTCCACCCAGCGGCTCAGACTTGAAACCTGAAAGGTGCCTTTGATTTCTCTGCTTGCTTCCATATGCTGTTAGCAAGGACTGCCGCTCCCTCAGGTGTTCCCCATCCCTGCTTTTGCCACCCTGATGCATGCCAAGACCATTTCTTGCCTGGATGATCACTTGGCCTTCTGACTGGCCTCTCCTTTTCTCTGCAATCTACACAGTAGCCAGAGTGGTCTCCTTAAATCCCAGTTACCCCAGTTGGATCATTACATACCATATACAGGCATCAAAATATCACATGTATCCCAAAAATATGTACAACTAATATGTATCAATAAAAAGAACACACAGGCCGGGCACGGTGGCTCAAGCCCGTAATCCCAGCACTTTGGGAGGCCGAGACGGGCGGATCACGAGGTCAGGAGATCGAGACCATCCTGGCTAACACGGTGAAACCCCGTCTCTACTAAAAAATACAAAAAACTAGCTGGGCGAGGTGGCGGGTGCCTGTAGTCCCAGCTACTCGGGAGGCTGAGGCAGGAGAATGGCGTAAACCTGGGAGGCGGAGCTTGCAGTGAGCTGAGATCCGGCCACTGCACTCCAGCCTGGGCGACAGAGCGAGACTCCGTCTCAAAAAAAACGAACACACAATCAGATCTTGTCATGCAGGCAATGGCTTCTCATCTCATAGTAAACCTGAAATGCTTGATAATCTCCAAAGGGTTCCACAATCTCCCCAACCTGGAAAAGCAACCTCAGCCCTTGTCAGTCCCCCTGACCCATGCTTCAGACAACAGGGCCTGCTTTCAGCTGCTCAAACATGCCCAAGTCCTTCACCACCCCAAGCATTCAGCCCTGCTGTTTCACCCTCACCCCTGCCATAACCCTCTGTAGTGCTGGCCCCATTCCATAGTTCTCAGCCTCAGGAGTGCCTGGTCAGCAAGGCCTTCCCTAACCATCACATCAAAATCGGTCCCTTCCCTGTTACCTGCTCTTTCTGCACCATCTGTTTCCTTCACGGAACTTACCCCATGAGTTATGATTTGCTTGTTTACATCTTTCTGTCCATTTAGAATAAAGGTTCCCTGAACACAGGGAGCCAGTCTGTTTTCTAGGGTCTCAAACACAGTAAGAGTTCAATATATCAATTACTAAGTGAATTAATCATATATAATTTTATGGATTTTATATATATGGAAATATTTATAAAGACACGTGATACATGTGATATTTTGATGCCTGTATATAAACTAACTATGCCCCTGTAGTTGTACTTTTACATGGATTATCATTTTACTATTATAAATCCTACCCTAATCTATCACTTCCAAGGTGTATTTTTAAGTATTTTCGCAGGTCAGAAGTCAGGATGTGTTTCACACTCCGGGGCCTTCTACAGTCATGGCCACGATGGAGCTCTTGCTGCCTGCCCGCTGCTCCTGCACAAACCTGGCCAAGCTCTTTGTACTGTTCTCACCTCATTCTGTTACAAGCCCACTGACACCTCATGAGTGGACACTTGCCAAGCAATGCAAACGAAGGCCAAAAAGATCTGTCATTTCCCTGAGAACAAACACAAGAAATCTGAAAGCCATGCAAGGCTGGCGTGCGTCCTGCAGGGCTTCTCAGTAAGGCATCACCTGTCAGAAACTTCCTACAGACTTGATCCGAAACCTCTCCACTTCCAAGGATATGTGATTCAATTGAGGAAAAAGACACAGATGAGTTCAGTCAAATGGGAAAGCACAGTATCAAAACTTGCAGGAAGGTGATCAGTGGCTTGAGGCAACATTCCAGGGGCAACAGCAGAACACTTATTTTTAAAATATTGCAGCTGCATCAACACTCTCGATGGCACAGAAGATGAGAGGATACAGAAGGGCACAAACATCCACAATGAAGTCAAACAGTGATGCAGGAAAAAGAATTCAGGCTCTGCACACAAAGCAGTTTATACCTCAACCAATTTATTTTGCTTCAGTGTGTCTTTTTATGAATGCACAAGTATGATATAATTTTAAAATTATGTCAAAATAAGTCTAAAATAGCTCCTTCTAACCATTTTTTATTTTTAAAAAGCACTATAATTTAATAGGTAGCATTTTTTTCTTAATGATGCATAAAATAATAGTGTATCCTAAAGTCACTGGTAACTTAGAGTCAGTAAAATACAGTAGAGTCTAGTACCGTCTTCTTTTTATAACTATTTCCTCGGATTAATGTTCAATGATTAGATTTACCCAGCCAAGAACACTTTTGCTATATACTTCCAGAAATGTTTTATGAAATGCAATTCTACAATTAACATTTCTATTTTTTAAACATTCACATTCATTGTACTGTATCCATTTATTTTTGCTAATTTAAACATAAAGAGTAGCTCATAGTTATTTTGAGGGTTTTTCAAATTATTAACGTTGAAAAATTTTTTTAACTTTTTAAAGTTCCAGGGTATATGTGCAGGATGTGCAGATTTGTTACACAGGTAAACATGTGCCATGGTGATCTGCTGGACCTATCAACCCATATGTAGGTATTAAGCCCAGAATGCATTCGCTATTTTTTCTGTTTTAAAACTTTTTTTTTTACTATTTGTTTCCTCCTCCAGATAAAGTCAACTCCTGACATTTGTTCATTTGTCCCTCTGGGGGTAGTGAGGTCTGTCAGTTTTCAAAGTTGAACTTTTTCATGTGTATTACAAATATTTCCCCCATTCTGTTGTTTCCTTTTTATTTGTTTTATGGTTGTTCATTAGACTGAACTATTATATTCTTATTTGTTTCTCTCCAACTTTATAGTTCTATCTACTGGTTTCAAAGAGGAAATCTCCCCTTCACAGTTAAAAAATATTCACCTCAGTTTCTTTTCTAATCAGGAATTTATTGGGATACATGGTATGAGATACAAATCTCCTTTTACATGTTTTCTTCAGGGTTAATGGATTCTCTAGCTGATGGTTTCAAAAACAGAGGTTCTGCATACCTTTTTAACAAAATCCAGGATTCTTTCCCTCAAAAGACGTATCCATTTCTAATTTGTACCATATGCAGGCACTGTGCAATTCAGTGTTTGTGGACTTACGTGATCACTTCTTGCCTATTTTTCATTTATATCAGGAAGCTAAAGAGTATTTTGATCCCCTCTTTTGGCATGTTCTTAATATAAGTTTTATTTTAAAAAAGGAATTTTCATTTCAAATCATAGCAAAATTTTGTCATGTCATCAAGAATTATTATTTAGATAAATTTCAATAGTTATTACTCAAAAATATATTTCTGAAATCAGAAGTCAGCACACAGGATTCTTTGAGTAAAACATTCATACACAGAAAAAAGTCTTGCTCATACATCTAAACATCTTGCCCATACATCTAAAACTCTATTTCCCAACTATGGAGTGTGTAAATGAAGTTAACCCACATCTTTAATCACTTCGTCACAGATACAGACGCGTTCCTGTCAATGGTTTGACTTACAATTTTTTGATATTACGATGTTGCAAAAGTGAGACGCGCTCAGTAGAAATCGCCTGAGTGCCCATACAGCCATTCTACTTTTCTCTTTCAGTATTCAATACATTATATGAGATAGTAAACACTTTATTATAAAAGAGGCACTGTGTTAGATAATTTTGCCCAACTGTAGGTTAATGCAAGTGTTCTGATTACATTTCAGGCAGTCCAGGCTGAGGTATGATATTCGTAGGTTGAGTGTATTAAGTACATTTTCAGTTTACAGTATTTTCAATCACAATGGGGCTTATTGGGATCTAACTTCATCATCGGTAGAGGAGCATCTGTACCGGTCTACTCCCCAAAACAACCACCTCTTTACCCCAGACCTCATGCTTTCACATTGGCTCTGCACAGTCTCCTGGTTCAAGCGAGTCTCCTGCCTCAGCCTCACAAGTAGCTGGGATTACAGGCACCCGCCACCATGCTCGGCTAATTTTTGTATTTTTAGTAGAGACGGGGTTTTGCCATGTTGACCAGGCTGGTCTTGAACTCCGGACCTGAAGCGATCCAACCGCCTCGGCCTCCCAAAGTGCTGGGATTACAGGCGTAAGCCACCATGCCCGGCCTCACATGGGCCTTTGATAAGCATAAAAGTCATATGCTTTTCATCCTATATGCAGGATTATGACAGTGTATACTACATGGCAGCTACTCAATAAGTATGTGAATAAGCAGGAAATGACTTTTTTTTTTTAAACAAACCCACTTTAGGGAAATAAACTTGCAAAAAGCCCTAAACAATCACTCTTGCTAGCAAATAGCAGCGCGGGTCTGGCAGCACTGTACCTTCAGTTCCTGCTTGGGCTCCACATTCTTTATGGTTGTATAATACACATGGTGGCCATACTGGTAAGCCACCAGGTTCTGCTCCAGGTGATTCTGGGCTGGCCGTACAAACATCATCCAGTTACAAAGCGTCTCATCAGACAACTCAAACCATAGGTCTTCATGTAAATCCCTGTCTTTTCTGTCCCCTTTATCAAGAGAAACCTGTACGAAAAAAAGCCACACACAAAACAAAACAAAACCTTCAATATGAGACACATTTTATAATGTCACAATACACAAACTATTGCTCCTAAAAGTAACCATACATCCTGGCTCTTCCCTTTGTATCTGCAAAAATCCTAGACCTATGACTGGCCAAATGTTAAAGGGAAAAGATACTTTCTGAAGCCTCAACTGTAGGAAAATTACCTGGCAAAATCTAAAAGTTAATCTAATTGCGTAGCTTTAGCTAATATTTCACAAAACATGACCAAAAATGCTATAAATATGCCAGAAAATGCAAGCAAAATACTCTCTAGTTCATTACAATTTGCCTCCTTTTGGGGTTTCATTGCATTCATTTATAATAGGCAGCCCAGGGACAGGCATTTCTCTTTACAAAGTAATATTCTTGCTTGGAGGTTTTGAGAACACAAAGAAAACCTCCCGTGACAGCAGATGACTTGTCAAAAAACGCATCCCAAATATTCACCCCTTCCCACTGTCCTTTCCTCGTTCTCTGGAGCGGTTACACGAAGCAAGGAGCAGAGAGGGCTGGACAGAAACACAAGGGTCAGCTGCAAAGAGATGACTATAAACATATTTCACCATACAGGGAGCTATTCTTTAACCAGAGTCTACAGGTCAGACCTGTTTCAAAACTGGAAAGTGGTTTTCTTGCAAACATTACTGGCACACAGCAGATTACATTAAGCCTACATAATTCTCTTTACATTCCAGTCAAAATTATTTTAAACAAAGCAAGCAAGCCCCTGTTATGGGCTGAACTGTGTCTTCCTCAAAATCCACGTTGAAGCCCTAACACCCAGTACCTCAGGCTGTGACTGCATTTGGGGACAGGACTTTTAAAAGGGTACTTAAGTTAAAATGAGGTCATTAGGGTGGGCCTTAATCCAAACAGGACTGGTCCTTATAAGAAGGGAAGATGGGCCAGGAGAGGTGGCTCAGGCCTGTAATCCTAGCACTTTGAGAGCCCAAGGCAGGAGGATCACTTGAGCTCAGGAGTTCAAGACCAACCTGGGCAATGTGGCGAGGCCCTGTCTCCATAAAAAATACAAAAATTAGCCAGGCGCGGTGGCTCATGCCTGTAATCCCAGCACTTTGGGAGGCTGAGGTGGGTGGATCATGAGGTCAAGAGATCAAGACCATCCTGGCTAACATGGTGAAACCCCATCTCTACTAAAAGTACCACAATTAGCTAGGCTTGGTGGCAGGCACCTGTAGTCCCAGCTACGTGGGAGGCTGAGGCAGGAGAATCACTTGAATCCAGGTGGCAGAGGTTGCAGGGAGCCGAGATCGCGCCACTGCACTTCAGCCTGGCGACAGAGCGAGACTCCATCTCAAAAAATAAATAAAATAAAATACAAACATTATAAATAAATTAGAAGGGGCGATTAGGACGTGGATACACATACAAGCACCGAGGAAAGACTCTGTGAGGACATAGTGACAAGGTGGCTTTCTGCAAGCCAAGGAGAGAGGCCTCAGAGGAAACCAACCTCAAACTTCCAGCTTCCAGAACAGTGAGAAAATAAATGTCTGTCGTTTGAGCCTCCCAGTCTGTGGTATTTTACTATGGCAACCCTAGAAAACTACTGTAGCCCCTCAGAATAACTCATATAATGCTTTCAGGGACTAAAATTGTAATCTCCATCTCATTAGTGAGTTTCCATTTAACCAAATTAAGATAGAAAGAAGAATACTAGCAAACAACCGCTAAGGAACAGGAATAAGAGACTCAGCAGACAACGCAGCGCTCCTTGAAACACGGCTGAAGAACAGGAGTGAGGTGTGATAAAGCAAAAATTACCTTGAGGTGAATATAACAGTCTTTCAGCTCCGAGCCCCTGACGAGAGGCCCCTCCACGGGGCCGAACTGGGTGCGCTTGGGGATGCGCCGCTTGGAGAACACGCCGCCCAGAAACCTGTCTATGTAAAGCACCAGGGGCAGGCTCGCCCTCGCACGGGTGAGCACCGGCCGGTTGGGGATCGGGTGCAAGGGGCCATGCTTTGGGCACACTGAAGAATGTGCGTTATTGCACTCTTCACACCCTGCAAAAGAGAGAGAGTCTTGAAGAAAAGTCCAATTCCTCAGTTTAACTTGATGTGAGGTAAAAAATTCTGACCTGAAAAATCCCCATCTGCATTTTCTTTTTTTTTTTTTTTTTTTGAGACGGAGTCTCGCTTTGTCACCCAGACTGGAGTGTAGTGGCCGGATCTCAGCTCACTGCAAACTCCGCCTCCCGGGTTCACGCCATTCTCCTGCCTCAGCCTCCCGAGTACCTGGGACTACAGACACCCGCCACCTCGCCCGGCTAGGTTTTTGTATTTTTTTAGTAGAGACGGGGTTTCACCGTGTTAGCCAGGATGGTCTCGATCTCCTGACCTTGTGATCCGCCCGTCTCAGCCTCCCAAAGTGCTGGGATTACAGACTTGAGCCACCGCGCCCGGCCCCCATCTGCCTTTTCAAGCCAAAATGCAATGAACTCCTAATGGCGCTACCCATTCAATGGTAATTCACTCTCTCTGGTAGACCAGTAGTCCCAGCTACACCTGTAGTCCCATCTACTCGGGAGGCTGAAGCAGGAGAATCGCTTGAATCGGGGTGGCAGAGGTTGCAGTGCGCTGAGATTACGGGGAAAATCCTATAATTCTCCTCTAACATCAGACAGAATTTGCTTATGCCTGTCACAAACCACCAGCAGGCCACGACTGACTTCTTTGCTGGAGAGTCCTTTGAATAGTGGCCACTACATTTACAAATCAATTACAACATGTCAGAAGAGTAAAAAGAGCTTATCAGGCTAAATGTTGCACTATCTGATGAGACAAAAGAGGTGAATTTTATCGTATGCCAATGATCTCAATAAAACTTCCGCTGCCGAGGGGCTAGACTGCCTGAGCTGGAGTCCTGACCCTCAAGGTGTTGGCACAGCCCTGGGAAAGTTACCCACCTGATGGTAGGGCCATGGGGGGCAGGAAGGAGGCAGTAGGCGCAGGGCACCCATGCCTGGGATAGAACGGCATTCTTAAAAGGCTATCGTGGAAGAGGCAAAGCAGCGAGGCAAACGTGTTAAAGCTGAAGTGGCTGAAGAGCGCGGGATCGGGCACATCTACCATGGTGGTTTGGTAGCTGAAGCTCTGGTGTGAGAGACCTCGGCTCGGCTGCCTGATGCCCCTTCGTCCCTATGTGACCCTGAGCGAGTTTCCCAATCTTCTGAGCCTCAGTTTACTCATCAGTAAAATCAGAAAACGAAGAAGAGTGTCCCTCAAAGCGCTGCAGTGAAGGCCAGGTGGGATGATGCAAGCAGAGAATGTAGCACACTGGCTGCACACGGAAGGACCTGGTTCACGGGAGCTACGTTCACACACACACCCACAGGCAAACACAGACACACACACACACACAAGACGGACACAGCTTCCCTGGGGGAGTCCAGTGCCCACACTTACATAAGTCGTGCGGGTCGAAGGGCCGGGGCGGGTCTGGCTCCCAGTCATCCAGATCTGTGTCCTCTCCGTCTTCTTCCTCATCTTCCTCAGTGTCCTCATCCTCATCCTCATCCTCTTCCTCTTTGGCCTCCAGTCTGCCTAGAGGGGTCTGCAGAGTTGCCAAAGGGTCGGAGCCATCCACACTCTCGATGGAAGGCAGCACCTGGTTATGCACTGGCAATGAGGCCTGGGCAAAAGGTGAAGGCACAGAGTAAGCAGACATGGACACCTGCTTTCGGTTTGCTGGTGCCCGCTGGCAGAAACAGGGCGCAAGGGCTGGGTGGAATCTAGTCTTCATACCAGCTCCTTCCAGGCCCTGGAAAAATGACTTCCCTCTACAGGCTGTGAGGAAGAGCTAGCTTCATTTTTGATCTGACTGCTCACAGCCTTTAACCCCCGCCCTCCCTCTGCCCCTTCTGTCCCACACCTGGGCAGGCTGCTAAGAAGGCTCAGGTGCTCCCTCCTTTGGCAGCAGGGGAGATTTAAAAGTGGCAAGGCCCTGGCCACCTGTGCACTGACCCCACCCCTTAAACTCAGGAAAACCTGGTCTCTGCCTGGCTCGTTCAGGCCATTTCACACTGCTTGACAGGCCTGCCCTGTCTCCCAGAGACTTCAGATAGGTAAGCTACAGACCATTTCGATGTGTGCACATGTGAGGTACCATCAGTTTCCACATCTGAACTAAACCTGGGGTGGGGGGGTCCCTCTTGCCTTTCCAGAGTGGTCCCACCACAGTGGAGGGGGGACATGAGTTGACCTAACCTCAACCACTTGTCTTTTAAAACTCAACATGTCATGCAACACATGGTTAACAACGTTCAATAGCTCACAGCTCTCCTTTCCAACAGCTCAGGCAGGCTGGGGTTTTTAAGTAAGAATAAAAGAGATGAGATGCCTGTTTGTTTCATCATGCTGAAGTCAGTCTCCTGCAAATGAGACACAGCTTGGGTCATGTATTAGGTTAATGCTCGCTTATCAAATATCCTGGCAGAAAATAAAAATGGTACCTGAAAAAGTTCTCCTGCCTCCAATCTAAGTGTTACAGGATTAGACACTGGCCTAGAATCCCTTTATTCAATCTTGCTCCTCCTGCCCAATTAGCACAAGGTCATACTCAAGCCATGTCCTAGTCAAAAAATAAAGGAAGCTTTTAAAGATGCCACTCCCTTCATCTTCTCATATGTTGTTTTCCTCACCTAGAATACTCTTTCCTCAGCAACCTTCTAAATCCTACCACATTCCAGTTTCCCAGTGAACCGCCTCTGATGCCTCCAGCCCTCCCTGAGTCTCCTCTGCTCTGAACTCCTGCAGCCCTTGGAGCCATAGAATCCCTCTCACAACAGCACTCAGCGTCTGCTTCCACACTTCACGACCTCACCAGGCAGCCTGAATCATTCTGGAATAGTTAGTTCTATGACATTTTCTGTGGAGCCCAGATCTTCCACGCTTTGGTCGGGGCCCAGGACTTTCCTCTGGAGGTCGGTAGAATAAGTGTAACCCTTCCGCCACAAGAATCAAATATCTGAAGGCCAAAAACCCCTAATTCATTCAGTCATTTCTCAAATGACCAAACTCCCAGTTCCCTGATCATCTTGTTGTCCTCATTTATTTTGCAGTGGATTCCATATTTTTATTAATACAACATCAGGGTACATTAGTGTTTACATTGGCCACATTGTTCTACTGCAGACCCATCTTGAACCTGCAGATAACTAAAATTCCTAAGTCCTTTTTTCCCTACATAGAGTGCTATTAAACCATTTTTCCCCTCCTCAGGACTTCAAGAGCTGATTTTTACTTAAATGGGGGATTTTGCATTTATCTCCAGTAAATTTCATTTCACTACTTTTATCTGTTCTACCCGTCTGCCAAGATCTTTAGACTCTAGATCCAGACATTTCACACATTAACTATCCCTACAGCTTTGCATCCATTGCCAGACACCATCTATTTTGGTGATAAGTATGTGTTTTCACAGGAGTCCATCTTGCCTCTCCAACTGCACCTCAGGGAAGCAGACTATGGGCTTTGGAGTCAAGCATTTAGAGTAAAATCCTTGCCCCGCCACTTAGCAAGTTACTACACTTCTCTGAACCTCAGTTTCTTTGTCTGTAAAATGGACACAGTAATACAAGCCTCAGGTTCTGTAAGTACTAAGTGAAACAATATGTATATAAGGTCAGTAGCAGAGTATATAGTATTTTGTAAGTGCTTAGTATCAATCATTGTTATCCTAAGTTCTTTAAGGACCATGATGATATCATATTCTTTCTCCTCAAATTTAAAAGATTGCTGGGCATAAAGTAGGTATTCAATGAAGATTAATTTGTTGAAATATATTTGGCCTTTTGGGAAATGACATCAATCCCTTCAGGAATCTAGAGGAAGTCTTTGTGGCTATTCACAGAAACATCCTTTTCCTGCAGTGCATCTTAATCAAAGAACTTATCAAACTCTAAAAAGAGGCAGGGCGTGGCTGGGCATGGTGGCTCATGCCTGTAATCCCAGCACTTTGGGAGGCCAAGGTGGGCAGATCACCCGAGGTCAGGGGTTCAAGACCAGCCTGGTCAACATGGTGAAACCCCATCTCTACTAAAAATACAAAAAAAATTAGCTGGGCATAGTAGCGGGCACCTGTAATCCCAGCTACTCGGGAGGCTGAGGCAGGAGAATCACTTGAACCCAGGAGGCGGAAGTTGCAGTGAGCCAAGATCACGCCATTGCACTCCAGCCTGGGCAACAAGAGCGAAACTCCATCTCAAAAAAAAAAAAAAAAAAAAGAGGCCAGGCGTGATGGCTTATGCCTGTAATCCCAGCACTCTGGGAAGCTGAGGCAGGAGGATTGCTTGAGCCCAGGAGTTCGAGACTAGTCTAGGCAACATGGTGAAACTCTGTCTCTACAAAAAATACAAAATTTAGCTGGGCAGTGGTGGCATGTGCCTGTGATCCCAGCTACTCAGGAGACTGACGTGGGAGAATCGTTTGAGCCCAGTAGGTTGAGGCTGCAGTGAGCTGTGATGGTGCCAGTGCACTCTAGCCTGGGTGACAGAGCAAGGCCCCGTCTCAAATAATAATTAAAAAAAGAACTCTAAAGAAACGGTGCTGAGTGTGTTTACTGAGGGCCTGACCTGCAACGGCAGTGTAAGAGCATTGCCCAACATTTGAAACGCTCGGGCTCCAGAAAGCAGATCAAACCGGCTATCTCAAACTGCATCCGCACGCTTAACACATGCTCATTTAACTTTTGCATGACATTCCACTTCTGCGACTCAGGGTCTTTTAGAAAGTTTTACGTGGGAGGCCAAAATTCTGGAAGACGCTTCTGCCTCAGCTTCAGTAAAAACAACATAAAATGCCCTGTGAGGCTGAGGACTCCACAGGGAACTTCTAGCGGTGCAGCTGCTGTAGCCACCTCCCCCTCGACCTCCTCCACAGAACCTGCGAGGAAGTGACTGTATTCCTGCTCCCCGTCTCAGAGCACAGCTTACAATATTGCCCCTTGTCCTAAGTGCTTAGGCATTATGCCAGGGTTAGTGATAAATGTTACCATACATTGAACAAACCAAAACATATATGCACCTCTACTCCTCATAAATCCGCCCTGCAGAACCAACCTGAAAGAATGAATTCAGCAATTCAGTTATTCTAGTGAAACCACATTGTATTTTTCCCCAACAGATGTGTCAGAAAGACTCTGGTTTGGCAAGGTGACTGGCTTCTTGCCACTGCTGAGAAAGCTGACATCAAGATAAAACCAACCTTCTCTTCCCCATGCTGGACCTCTCTCCTAACAGACTGTGGCAAAAGGAAATGCTTAAACACTCCAGCATCGTCTTTAAGGGCTAACGATAAAAGCAGAGTTTGGATATTTACCAGAAACATGCAAACTGCTGTTGAAAAGGAATGGAAAGAGCTGATGACTATCATTTCTAGGTAAGAACTGTATACTTCTAGACAACATAGACCTTAACATACAACAGGCATGCATTACAAATTTAATGAATCACAAATTCAAATTCAGCTAGTGTTTACTGATGCTAGGCACGTATTTAAATTCCTTTGAGGTGAGGTGATGTTACAACCCTCCTAAGTGGCAGAGATGAAGTTTAAATTCTGACTCTGCACTGCTTTTTCCACTACATCACAATGGTCCTAGGGAATTCAGTCTATTCAAGGAGGGCAGCAGAAGAGGTAAACGTCACCCACGCTTTGAATACCTGGGCAACAAGGTAACCACACATGCTCCTGAGGTCGCCGCCAGGCAGTAGGTTGGCAAGCAGTGTGTGTGTGTTTCACTTAGAGGAAGAGAGTATGAAGCAAAACCATTTTAATCCTGTGCATTTTGTCATGTACAAAAAATACAATAAAAGGAAAAAGAATCTATAAACTTATGGTGTACTTTCTCCTTCCCACAATACCACTCTCTGTAATTATTTCTGAAAGGACATAATGCATTTCAGGATACAATTTATCTGAGAAGTGAAACATGAAACGACTACGCTGGACAGCAGCACACACAACAGAATGCTTCTTGATTCCTACTGAGACCAATTATCAGGGCAGCATATTTTCCTCTCAGTGTGTGGGGAGTCACACATGTTCATTTTCAAAAACAATGGGGAGACTATGCCTGGAGACCACTGATGCCTTTCTTAAGGACAAGGGAATGCGTACGTGAAAAATGCTTCAAGCACATTTTGCCCTCACTAAAAACAACTGAAAATATAACAGGAACCTTTTGCCTAAGAAGAAAACAAAAACCAAAAAAAAAAAAAAAAAACCATCATCTGTATTAAACCCTCAATCTAACTTTCTATCCAGAATTTATCCAGGTCACCAGATACACTGACAACCGCTGAGGTGTTATAACCAGAAATAACAACTGTGCTGGTTGAAAGGAAACTGCAATGGAGAAAGATGCTAAGCCAATAGTTCCACTGTCTTGTAATGTCAGGGTTTGTGGAGCTGAGTACAACTTTCCTTTTGAGCACAACATGAAACAGGCAGATTGTTTCTGGAGATGGGGAAAGATGAAGAGCCCTTTGAAGTGCAAATAGCAACGAAGCCTTTCATTAAAACTATCCCTTAATAATAAAACAACACAAATCTGCCTATCAGATTGGCAAAATTTGAAAAGAATGCAGATACTCAGTGTGGCAAGAGTGTGTGGAAATGGGGCACTCTTGGACAGTATTTTGTTGGTGGGACTACAAACATTTTCAGTGTCTGAAAAGCAATTTAGAAAATCAATTATCAAAATAATTTCACACAAATATCAAATAGAATAGTATAATAAACTTCATGTATCCATAACTCAGCTCAACAATTATCAATTCATGGCCAATCAACCTTTTTTTTTTTTTGAGATAAAATGTCTGGAGTGCCGAGTGGCTTAATCACAGCTCACTGCAGCCTCAACCTCCCAAGCTTAAGTGCTCTTCCCACCTCAGCCTCCCGAGGAGCTGGGATTACAGATACATGCCACCATGCCTGGCTAATTTTTTTTAGTTTTTGTAGAGACAAGGGTCTTCACTATGTTGCCTAGGCTGGTCTTTAACTCCTGGGCTCAAGTGGTCCTCCTGTCTCAGGGATCCCAAAGTGCCAGTATTATAGATGTGATTCACCGTCCCTGGCCAATTCACGGCCAATCTTATTTCAATTAATCTACCTACTTTCTCCCTCATTGGATTACTTAGAAGCAAAACCAAGACATTATACGTTTTCATCTGTAAATAGTTGAGTACAATAAAATGACTTTTAGATTGCATATCTTATCATACCTAAAAAAATTAGTCTTTTTTTTTTTTTTTTTTTTTTTTGAGACGGAGTCTCACTCTTATCACTCAGGCTGGAGTGCAATGGCATGATCTCGGCTCACTGTCACTGCAACCTCTGCCTCCCAGGTTCAAGCGATTCTCCTGCCTCAGCCTCCCAAGTAGCTAGGATTACAGGTACCCACCACCACACCCAACTAATTATTGTATTTTTAGTTAAGATGGGGTTTCACCATGTTGGCCAGGCTGGTCTCAAACTCCTGACCTCAGGTGATCCACCTGCCTCGGCTTCCCAAAGTACTGGGATTACAGGCATGATCCACTGTACCCAGCCGTCATTTCTGCATGTGTGTGGTGTTTTTTTCTGACGGAGTCTTGCTCTGTTGCCAGGTTGCAGTACAGTGGTGTGATCTCGGCTCACTGCAACCTCCAGCTCCCTGGTTCAAGTGATTCTCCTGCCTCAGCTTCCCAAGTAGCTGGAATTACAGGCACGTGCCACCACGTCCAGCTAATTTACATATTTTTAGTAGAGACAGAGTTTCACTATGTTGGCCAGGATGGTCTCGATCTCCTGACCTCGTGATCCACCCACCTAGGCATCCCAAAGTGCTGGGATTACAGGCATGAGCCACTGCGCCCAGCCCCAGCTGTCATTTCTTAGTACTATCAAATATCGACTTAGTGTTACGATTTCCCCAATTGCCTCATATATTTTTTTACAGTTGGCTTGTTCAAATCAGGATCCAAACAAGGTCCATATATTGCATCTGACTGATATGCCTCTGAAGTCTCCTCTAATACATAAGCTCCCCCTTCCTCTTTTCCCTTGCAATTTATTTGGAAAAGAAGCTAAACCATTTGTCCTAGAGAATCTCCCACAGACTGGGTTCTGCTGACTGCATTTGTGTGTATCTTTTAATTTGTTCCATTTTTGTCTACCATGCTTGAATCTAGATATGTAATCAGATTCCAGTTTGATTTTTGGGGAAGAATACTTCATATGTGATATAATGCAACAGGAAGTACACAATACCAGGAGGCATATCATGAATGGCTGTCTCTCTGTTGGTGATATTATCACTTGGATCTATCCATTACACCATTCCTCATCAGCTTTTTCCTGATGGTTTCAGGCTACCATTGACAATCATTGCCTAGGTCCATATGTCATTAGGGGCTGCAAAATGGTGATATTCTAAGTCAATCATCCTATCTTTATTTATTAGTAGGAATGCTTCTATAAAGAAATTTCCCTCCTCGAGTAATTGGTTACCTGGGTACCTTCAAGGAGACAGGCAGGATTCTTTTTCTCCATTTGCCAGTTTTTAGAATAATATGGTAAATTCTAGCATCCTCAAAAAGTGACCAATCCAAAAACTCCTTTTAGTATCACTATGAACTTGTGGACCTTACGTATATTTAGGTACTTCAATCTATTGTAGATGTTATCCTTTTTTACAGGTCAATTTGACCCATTTTGGCCCCTTCAAGTTCTTGCCATAGGAAACCAGAAGTTTTTAATAGCAACCCTGCATTCTGAGAAGACAAGATGCTCCAAGTTCATCAGTGCATCCTGCCCCAGAGCTAGAATCTGCCATTTCTCCAAAAAGCCCTAATTTCTTTTGCTGGTGAATTGTATTTAAGAGACCACATGGCAGTATTACGGATACTCACTGCTACTGGGTTGATCATTGTATCTAAACTACTTCAATGGCCAGAACTAGAAAAACGGGATTTTTGCGTTTTTGTTGTTGTTGTTTTCTTTTGTTTTTGAGA